CTATAGGAAAACAGATCTATAGGAAAACAGATCTATAGGAAAACAGATCTATAGGAAAACAGATCTATAGGAAAACAGATTAGAGAGGGGATGGAAGTGATTGCTTGAATACTGGCAGACACGATGACCTTCATGCATACATCAGAAAATTAAGGCTAATGATGCCATGATCAGACAGAAATTTACGATAAAAAGACTTTAATTTTTTTTAAACATTCCTGAAAAATCAATCTTGAGAGATACAATCTTAAATGTCCATCAAATGATGCAAGAAATTGGCATTCACTCTCCAAGCCACTAGGCTACGAGTAGTCTTGTAGTTCATACACACAACATGCCGATGATGAAACCCTCACAGTGGTCTGCCAGTACTTGGGTCAATACTACATGTATGACAGTGGTAGTAGGTAATTTGCATCATAGATGTTTCGGGATTCCTTAACTGCTTAAGCAGGTCTGCACAGTATTTTGACAAGCCCTAACTTTATCTCTCTGTGGCTGTAAGTGATCTATGGCTGGTCACAGATGTGGCTTTCTTCTTCAGCCAGTTGAAGTCTGACTCCAGAAATATGCTCACCTCTTCCCAAGTTTCTAATTTGACAGGTACATGAAGGATCGCTTTATCACCAGCTTGTTGCTGAGGGCCATTTTTGTTGCTAAGGGCCATTTCTCGGCAATCGGGAATGCAGATTTCCTTTAGGAACCGGTACAATTTGTGGCTTGACCGGCCAGTAGTGGGACACATTCATGCTTTCTACTGTGTTTCAAGTCTAGTGAGGTACATGTACATGCACACAGTAATGCTTTCCCCAGGTTGCCGGCAACAGTGATTGAAGTGAAATCTCTCCAGCGCCGAGGTTGCAGTTTTTCTCCAGCTTGGCAATTACCGTACTTTTGCCGAGCGCCTGCTTTCCCCCTCAGTGTCATCTTCTTAATCCCATTTGAATGTCAACGGCTGGCTCACCGATAACGTGCAGCAGGATCAATATTTGCCGTTTAACTGGGTCTTCTTTGATGCCCCCATTGCATCTACATCTACATGTATAAACAACAGGAAGCCTTGTTTGAACTTTTCCCAATCTTCTGCAACATAGCTAGTAAGTTCAAATGGGCTCAATTCTGTAGGGAGAGTTTAGTTTAGCAGCCACTTAAACATCCACACACATTGCTAGCAGGCCAATTACAGTGTACATGAATGTACATGTACATTATGCACACACCGAACGTACATGGTCCAGAATTTTTAAGCCAGCCACTTTGCACCTATTTTTACTGTTTTTAGCCACTATCTCTACCAACAAACCTCATTATGTGAGTCACTAGAGAGTCCTCACAACTTCTGACATCTCTGATATGACAGAGTAAAACAGTGCATGCACACATGCATGTGTATGTTGCATACATATCTAGGGATACATGTACATGTAAATTGCTTCATGCATAAACATCAGTCTGTGCCGGTCACGTGAGTCATCACAACATATTCTGGCTAGTCACTAATACTCCGTGAGATTTCAAGCAAACTGCACACTCTTGACGCGAGCCGTACAGTGCAGTAATTACAAACACAACAGCTGAACAAGATCCCGAGACTGCTACCTGTGTTGAGGATACTGAATGCCTACACTTCACATCTAAAACAATTCCCAGCTGGGTGGTTTGTTCAGCAAGTTGCTGACTTCTGTGGAGGTGTCTGAGTTTCACACACAGGGTGATCATTCTCCTTTTTCTGCCACTTCACGTTATCTTTTCCCTTACGACAAGACAAAGCCTGGTGCTTTCCAACCGCATCTACCAGTATTTCTTTCACATCTTCAATTGAAGTTCAAGTTTGCTGCTGCCCACTGGAATGTCTACAAGACACTGATCTTTTTGTGGATAACTTTAGTGGGTAAACAACGCTGGCTGAAAAGGTGATCGGTTGTGTATTCATTGGAAAGAGATTTACGGCAAATAATGATTCTCTTGTCCGGTATTTTGCTGTCTCTGGTGTTCAACGTATCATGCAGCAACATGACATGTACTCAACAATCTCGAAGCTGCCCCCCACCGTGGCTGGCCTTCAGAAATCACTGCTACCTTTACAAGCCTGAGAGAAAGACATTTACGGAAGCAGAAGGGATCTGCTCAGACCTCTCAAAACGGGCTCATCTGGTGTCCATTTCTGACAGTGCCGAAAACCAGTTTGCATTCCGCTATGCCCAGTCGGTTGACCTGCAGGACTTTTGGATTGGGTACAATGACGTGCTGTCAGAGGGAAACTTTTTCTGGACCGATGGAAATCGCAACGGATTTACTGAATGGGACGTTGAAGAGCCAAATGACTTTCGCGGCAATCAGGACTGTACTTATTTAAACGACCAAACACTCAGGTGGGATGATAAAGCATGCAGTCATCGATACGCATTCATGTGCAAAATACCAAAAAATGAGTAAAAAAACCACACCATCAATGAACGCCTGACTACACATTTTTAAAAGGGCTTGTTGTACCGGTATGTATGACGTGCTTTAAAAAGTCCTAACGTGAAAACAACTGTCTGCTTAATCAAGGGCAGCAATATAGCCACTCAAGAGAGGAAATTGGCGGAAATTTTTTTTTATGACAAGCCAAATCTTTTGTTCTGTTGATGTGTCAATATGGAGTTTCATACAAGTGAAAATGTAAGCGTAACCATGGTGTACTTGCCGGTGCCAACTGGTTAAAAACAACATGTTTTCAGACAAATAGGTAAGAAAAGAATTGTTGCTGGAACTTTCAATTTAACCTTTCCTGCTCCTTGACTTTCTGTCGTGAAAAGTGTACATGTTAGTAATTTTAAGTATGTGTAGGATGTAAGAAGATATAAATACTGGTAAAAATATATTGGTATACATTTTGTATGATAATGATTTAGCAAATATTGAATTCTGTGGTTTGTTATCAAAAATTGATGACTAATTTCCTTTTTTCACTTGCGAGTACATCATGTATTGAAAAGTTGTCAATTATAAAAAATATGTAGGTTTTTTTAGCAATTTCTTGCAAATTTTAAGAAAAAACTGAGCAAACAATGCTTAATAACATTGTGAATGGTAAATTAAATATAGCCATTTTTTTCTCCATTGTTGGTCGCTTATTACATGTACATGCAGCTTAGCGTCAACGCTGTAAACAATGGTGGTGGAGCACTGTTGAATACAGGTTTCTTCGGGCATATGAACTACAGTGTCCGGGATCTTTTTGAAAAATGCTTGTTTCTTTATCAGAAATACTTTAGTGAGGGGAAAAAAATCTGATCTTCTTAAGGGCCGGTTATGGTACATTTAACAATTATCAACACACTGCCACCCACAGACTGCCATAAATGAGGTGAAGCTAATTGCCCTTCTCCACAAGGATAGAAAGAAAATGATCAGAGGGTGTAACCTGCTGTTGCCTGGGAAACAGTATTGATCATTGCATTGGAAACTATTGTGCTTCTGTCGATTAGAGTCAGGGGGCAGGGGCCTTAACTATGCACGGGTAACCAATTAGGCCAAGGCTAAGTAGTATATGTGGGCACTACATGTGTGTGTACTATCAAGAATAAAGGAGACCAAAGGTTGCCAGTACCAGCCAAAGTATTGCACATTGAGCGCACGTCCAGTTTTCTCAATTGAGAAAATACTGGTGAAAAAAATGTCAACGGGGGGAAGGAGACCAAGAAATTGTTTTCAATCTCAGACACAGTATCTGTCTTTGGGAAACAGCAATGAAGTAAAAATTCTATGATTAGGAATATTAAGCTTTTAAAAATTTAGAAGTAATCTATACTCATTTCGAAGTCGTCATTTTGTGATGTAGTTTAGAATGTAAATATATTTATCTTAATTGATGTGTTTACAGCACCGAGTGGTATATGTGATAACTTTTTGCACTTTGAAAGGATAATGTGAAATAAGTAAGTTGAGTGTATATCCTAAAATAATGAAAGTGTATTGTCCACTTTTTCTCAGTGTTTTTGAAGTGCATCCTTTCAATCGTAATTCAAACTTGAAAATACGGTAACAGCTATGTAGTATTCGCACATTTCGCCTTGAAGCTACAGATTGCATAAACTTTGAAACTGTGAACTCACTGAAATGCTTCGATATCTGTTAGCCTGCATTTTTGCTTGAATTTTTCCGTTTAATAGTTCAATATGAATGTCAGTTAAAGTGAACGTTTACTGGATAAACTGTTGACACAAAGCATATTGATCTCAGAAAGAAATAAATCAGTTCGGCAGAATAGGGAAAAGTTAAACGATCCACTGCTGTCCCTTTCATGTTGTTGCATGGTTGCACATACAGACACACAATTTGGCTGTTTACTGTTAGTAAGTCTGTGTTGTCAGGTAGTCAGGAGCCGAAAACAGACTAATGTGGTATCAATATGACAACAATATGGGTATCATACTCTGCTGCACTGTACACGTTATGTGCATGAGCATTTTTTTAATTGTGTGGTTGCTTTGCATGCAAGACAACACAAAATAAAAGTTCCTAAGGATTGGGTTAAAAATCAGTCTGAAAATACACTTTGATGTCAAAGTCTGTCGAAGCTCAAGGGCCCCCAAGCAAAACAGATCTACAGTGTTTGTCTGGTCTCTCTAAAAAATCCAGTCATTAGTATGAAATGGGTCATTCTATAAATTTGGGGTCGGATGTGTGACATTTCCGTCCCTGTTACACCGGGCCTGTATAATTTGACGGAAGATATTTCACGGAAAATTATTTCTATTTTTATTTGAGTGGCAGGTAATTTGTAGTACTTATTCATTCTTGGAAATTAAAGAATGAGTTCTGACCTTCAAAAAATCATACGCAAGTTGTAACTGGCACAGGAAAAAAACTGGGCTCCAAATTTATAAAATGACCCAAATTCCTGTGGGCAGAACGTATTTTCTTGCCAAGCAGACTGCAAGTCAAGCCAACCACTGCAGGCCTAGGGAGTTACAGTTTTGGAGGTAACACGCGTTATACATACCTTGGACAGCTTGGGCACGGATATCTTGTTGTCCTCACCCTCTGGGGTCTTTTCACCCTTCTGGTTCCCTGTCTCTTTTGGTGTCTTGCTGCCCTTCTTGTCTTTTGCGCCTGGCTTCTCGTTGGTTTTGGGGCTGGACTTTCTGCAATCTTTCTGCAAAACAAAAAATCAAACCAATTACAATGCCACATAAGATATACTTTAAAACTTTGATACGACTAACAATTTAGCAAAACTTTATAATTTCAACCCTGAGCTACGTGAGTATTTTGGTAATAGGATCAGCGAACAGTAAGTTGCAGCTCCTAACAGGACTGCTTGTGTGTCTGAGAAATGTGGAGGAACTGGATCCAATTATTTCTCTCAATAAGACGGATTTCTTTTCATAGTGGCAACCTCCTTCATTGCCCCAAACCGATATCATGCAACGAACTGCCCCAAACTGTGACAAAATAGTTAAACCTCGGCAGTTTTTCTTTGGGAGGGGAGATATAACAACATCTTGAGAAATGATATTATAATTGAACAATGGCACTTGAATGTCAATAGAAAATCAGAACTGAGGAGCAATTGAAAATTATATTGATATTTTTTAATTCAAGAAAAGTACATGCCCAAGTCAAATTGTGTATTATTTCATTCCAGGCATGACAAGTATTTCCAGTTTCAAACCACCTCTGGCAAGAAACACTACGGATTTTCTTCGGGCCAAAATTTGCAACCGGATGCAAAAACTCAGGTTTGAGTCTCAGGCTGTGTCTCGATCATGTGGCTGTAGCTGAGATCGACGCAGGTATAGCCAGTGGCTTCCATAGGTGTACACATTTGGCAGTCATAGCCAATTAGTTAAGATGAGGCCTGCAGCTGCGTCCAAAAGTTATGGCTGTGCCTGTAAAATATGCATGCCCCTATGGAAGCTAATTGCAACCAGATGGCCATAGCCAGGTGATTTGGACAAGGGCTAAAAAAGAAGTATTCTGACCTCATCCTCACTGCTGCCTTCAACCTCCTGGATCTGCATGCGTTTCCCCCTCTTCTTCTTCTTCTCTGATTTGGTCTGGGCCGGTTTGACCTCTCCCGATTTGACCTCGGCTTGTTTGACCTCTGCAGGTTTGACCCCTGTGGGTTTGACCTCAGCGGGTTTGACATCCTGCTTGACCTCGGCTGGCTTAACCTCCTGTTTAACCTCCGAGGATTTGCCCTTTCCTCCTTTGACCTCTGCTGGCTTGACCTCAGTGGGTTTGTCACTGTTGGGCTTGACCTCAGCTGCACTGACCTCAGGTTTGACCTTTGGTGGCTTGGTCTCAGCTGCTTTGGTCTCAGTAGGTTTGACCTCCTGCTTGACCTCGGCTGGCTTGGCCTCCTTCTGTTTAACCTCGGAGGATTTGCCTTTTCCTGTTTTGACCTCTGCAGGCTTGACCTCGGTGGGTTTGTCCCCGGCGGGCTTGACCTCGGCTGCATTGACCTCAGGTTTGACCTTTGTTGGCTTGGTCTCAGCTGCTTTGGTCTCAGTAGGTTTGACATCGGTGGAATTGACCTCAGAGGGTTTGACCTCTGACTTGGCTTGACCCGGAGGGGGCTTGGTAGCTTGCTTTGGCTTTGCAGCAGCCTTCTGCTGGTTATTTTTCAGTTCCTGAAATTTTTCAGCATGTCATAAATAAAAAATTCTCTTTACTGTTACTTAAATGCAGTGTTCCGAAGGTAAGAAATATTGAGTAAAATTCCCAGGCTCAATAGAAATGTGTGATTCCCAGATTCCAAAAGTTAAACTTTTAACCTGAAAAGTCACCTGTAATAATTAAGAGCAGTGGCCCTAAATTTAACTTCAACAAACCAGTCTCCAACTATGGTGTATAGGAGCAAGATCTTGTCTTTTGGTACGATCAGATGCTGCTGTTTATGTTTCTTAGAAAGCCCAATATTGTCATGTGATCTTATTACACGTACCTTGCTAGCCCTAAACTCTACAAATTAGCAACTAAACGTATTTAATAGGCTCTGCTGGGTGAAGTTATAAAATAAAGATCTAAATTCACACAGCTGCTGATCTGTGCTCCGCTGCTCAGCAAATTTAAGTGCTACGCGCAAATCAGCAGGGAACCATCCACAAGCGGCATACATTACACATATTCTGAGCTTGTAACCCGATTTTCTTCAGCGTTTAGCAGCTGCATGATCTTGTCCCCTGACTTCACACTGTAATTTGAATATGGAGATGGTGACTTACCTGTCGCCACAGCTCTTTCACTAGCTCCAGTTCCTTCTTAGCTGAGGCATTATTCGGCTCGATCTTGAGCAAGCTTGTCAGGTCGCGCGCTCCGTCACTGTACTTGTTCAGCATCTGCAGAGAAGAACCAGCCACTATTCTGTAAAAAGCTTCTGATGGTTGTTTCGAGTCACGACAAGTGAAAATGAGAACAGAGTTAACTGGGTATTCAAAGGTTTGCTATTACAGATTTGTAGCTTTGACCTTGGATCTTATTTATTTGTTTGAGTTGAAACCCTCTGGCTGCAAAATGCAACACCATTATCTGGTGCAGAAACATTTACAAGTGGTTCTGATGTAATGCCAAAGTCGGCAGTATATTTTCATTTGGTTCAACAGTAGGCTTTGAAACTTGATGTGGAAGTTCAAGGTGAAGCTAAGGACAGCGACCAACCCTAGATTTGATAGAAGGGCAAAGAAACACTTAGCAAGGCAGCCATCTTGGAGCTGCCTGCCTTTGTTCAACTGAATTGATGTAACAAGACACCTGTAAGTTGGCGCTTGTGTACAAAGAGCCGAATTCAAATCATTCACAACACTCAGACTGTTTCAACTGTACAGCCAAAGCTAGGATCACATCGCAGCTGCCATGTCTCACGCATTGTTCCTTCCTGAGTAAGAATAAAGCTCTGTTGATTACCAATGGTACAGTATTTTCAAATTTCAGCTCGTCAGGAGAGCGACAAAGTGAAGTCACATCTATCACGTGTCTATAGTAAGGACATGTATTTATTCATTTAGGAAATTTTCTCACACAGACTGATTCATCTTTCACATTTGCCTGTATTATACGCAGGGTTTCAACATCGACAGTGTCTGAATAAACCGGCTGCAACTAGGGTTAACACACTTGCAGCCCTTCATTTTAAGAAAATCCAGGAGACCTCTCCTCAAATCTCTCAGAAGAGCAAATCGCTCTCCTTAAAGTAAACCAATTAAAAGGAGAGGAAATGAGATCAAATAATTGTTTGTACCCTGGGGGTCTATGTTGTTTCCACTTTTCTCTGATGGTTTTATAATGTTCTTGGGGCAATTTTTAAAATGAATTTAGTTCTGGTTCAGTTAAAAACGGATCTACAATATATACATCATCTCAGTGCTTGTTTTATTTGAACCAGAATTTTTATACTTGCGAATTAAACATACACTATTTAGGCCTGAGGAACTGAAGTTATACATAAGTTTCAACCAACTATTCAACACAGTTCTACGTCATGCATGTGTCCCTTTTATTTAAATAAAAATGGAAATGAACCTTTTTCCTCCTGATTTGAGCATTTCTTTCACAAATAAAAAAACCTGAAGGGGATTTGAAAGTTGAAATTGCACTTCAACTGTGTTCAGTTGATGCAGACGGTAACAAATCCAGCTAAATCAAAATAGGAAAACGTCAGCCAAAAAGGCAGGAATGCACATGTGAACATGACGATGTTTACGTATGATTATGGTCTGACACGCTGGGGGGGGGGTTTCCTGCGCGAATTCAATGAGCGCACACGCTGCATATATGTAGGTATACACAAAGCTACATTTTCATGACGACCAAAAGCTCACGGCATACCACACTTTCTGCTCAGGCGCCCCGTAAAGAAGATCGATACTGATTGGCTCTCGTCACAGCGAAACTGCCCGCAACATACATGCACGTGCCAGCATATGTGCAGTGTGCATGCTTCATCTGCGTGAGGCCTGGCTGGCCGCACTCGCGAAGCGATGATCGTAATATATTCGTAATATATTAATTATAGGCCTAAGTAGGAAAGTGAATGAAAGCGGGATAAATGTGAAATTGTAAGTTACAAACAAATCACAGTCCTTTGTTGGTGATGTTATTCACTGTGTTTGTCATATCGTTTATTTGTGAAGTGCCCTTACATTTCTTTAGGAGCGCGATTTTTTACGCTCCTTAAGGAGTGTTGAGGAGCGCGGTAGGAGCGCCTGCGTGACCGCGCTCCTTTAACACGAAGGACTGCACTTGTTTATGGGCAGTGGAAGCAGCCACTAGCAAGTGGCTTCCACAGGGGCACATGTAATTGCCAACCGCAGCCGCAACATTCAGACATGGCGTCAAACAATTATGTGTACCTTTCTGGCCAAAGCTCTCCTGTACAAAGCTTTTATGTTACTCTCGTCCAGCTCCAATGCTCTGGTGCAGTCGGCCTCTGCTTCATTTCCCTGATGTCCAAGAGAAGGGAACACTTGCTTGATACAACCGTGTTAATACGTGAGAAACAGTTAGCATTTAACTTAGCTTCAGCTTCTGTTACCAACACACCTACCACTCCCATGCAAGGCCAAAGTAGTGAGGACTTGGTTGCCATGGTGACTCCACCAACTTTGGTAAGTTTAAAGTTTTCTCCTAAGATACTTCCTGAGACTGCATTGGTCCATGGCAAAACCAAGTACAGAAATTAAATAATTTCAGATATTCCAACGGGACTCATTATTTCCTCAAGTCCTTTGTATAAGGGTTTACAACCAGCTAGCCGGCCAACGTTCAGTGGGTAAGGTATTTAGACTATTAAAACACAGGAGGTTCTGTGGTCAAGTCCAACCTGGATAAGGCTGTAAACAGTTTTACAGCGAGTTCCACATTTTCATGGAAAAAAAGCAAAAATTGACCATGAACATCTACATCAACCCAAAGCAAAGTTTACTTGACGAGATTTCCATGTAAACATCAGAGACTGTCATACCTTGAGTAGCTTGATGAAGCACAGTGCACGGTTGGTGTAGCTGACGATCTGGTTGGGGTCCAAGGCAATACAGGCTGTATAAAAATCTGCTGCTTTGGCATAGTTCCCCTATACAAATAATCAATACGAAGTGATACAAGAATGATCCACAACGCATAAGCTCGCACATACCGGTACACTCTAATGTGTTCTACTCACTGCTTGATATGTACTCACCTGTTGAACTAGGGCATTCCCCTCGGTTTTCAGCTTCAAGAAGTTATCCTCCTTGCTCAGCTTAGGGTCAGTGACTGACATCGGGTCACTCTTGTCCTTGACCCCTGATCCAACTTCGACCTTTTCGGACGGCCCATCAGGCCCTCTGCTCACATTCCCTTTGGAACCCTGGGCCTTGGCGGGTTGGTCTCCGACGCCCGGTTTCGCCTTGGCTTTTTCGCCTTTGACATCTTGACTCTTGAGTCCGGACTGGGGCTGGCCAGGGCCGGTGGCCATGGCCGGCTGGCTGGTTGCATTGGTGGTGGAGGTGACGTTGGGAATGCTGGTGTTGCTAGGAGCCATGGTGGTCAGGGAAGGGGGTGGGAGGGACAAACCCAGCACAGTGGGGGTGGAAGGAAGCTTCTCCCGCCACTTGGGACCATCTTGATCCGACAGGATTTTCATCATTCTAAAACAAAACCCCACACACTTACAGTCAGTTAAAAATTTACTTAATCTAATAATATAATATAATATAATATCACATTATATAACAACACTATTTGTACAACTCGGCCTTCAAATGTGACCTATTACGACAGTATGACTGTATAGTCATATTCTGCTCTTTCCAATTCTGGCAGTTCAAAGTCGAATATTAAAGTGGAGGTCAATTTCTGGGGTTTATCAATACTTGGAAAAAGTAAACCCATTTCCTATTTAATTCCAATTTTCTGCAGGATCAACTATTTAAAAATGTCCCACTCTCAGCGATTTTGTTACAATGATGTTACAATATTTACATAAGAGGCACTCAAGCTTAGCTGTGCGGGATCAAATTTCAGAACAGTGATGTCACTGACAAAAAAAACATACAAGGATTGAACACGGAGAGATCTTGAAGCAGATCTCCGCTCACCTTGTGGCTCCTGTCTGCGCTGACTGGTTGGTAGTGTCCAATTTCATAGCGGATTGATAGTCAACATAGGCGTGACGATACCTGTGGATGGAAGAAAACACATTCACTCATCAAACCTACTCTCACATCCTCCACAAATGAAACCTGCTTGTGCAAGATATTGACAGCAATGTTGTAGAAGGACTACAGGTCATTGTATTGCTCTGACCTTCCCTGAAAAAAAAGGATTTTGAGTCAAATTTATATTTAGACCTCCCGGCTAAATTGAAAGAGTAGGAAACAAGTAACCTTCTTGATTCACCCAGATCCTGATCGCGATAAGTGATCTGCCATTGGGTTACTGACACCAGACCCCAGCTAATGGATGCAGCGAACCAGCGCTGGGATCACCGATCAAGATCTATGTGAAAGAAACTGTCCCTACATGTAAGACTCAATCTGTATATCTTACATTCTCTCTGAGATTGAGACAATGCTGCCGTAAAGGAAAAATCCATAAAACGGAGGTACTTTTTGTAAATGTGTCAAACGTCACATGTGTGCCTGTTTAGAGATTTTCAACATACAAATGACCCAAGTTTCTCTTCCAATGGAGTTTAAAATTAGGTTGAAAAAGGCAAAGCTGCGGTACAACTAGCCAAGACTATATTTCTTTTATCACTACATATACATGTTGCTATGGCGCTACTTCAAAATCAGTCCAAATGGTTGAATTTAGTCAGTGCAGCCTCTCTATCAGTCCAACAATGCAAATGCAGGAATGCATTTATTACACACACTGCCTGAAATCATCTTTAACCACTTTCTGCCGGGGGCTTTTAACAATGCAATGCCTACGTACGGGGGATTTTTCAACATCTTCGGTTTTCAAAAATTCTTATCTTTTTTTCCTGAATGCTTAAACCCCATGGAGTGACTGTCTGGTGGCTACTCTAATCTGACAGACAAAATCTATTGATGCCAGAGCATTTCAGCCGGGCCTGCCGCCTTGTAAAAGAGCCCAGATTCTGCGGTGTTACATCCTAAGTTTCTTTTGTACCCAAGGTACCCGAAACCTAGTTCCCCAGCAGCATATGGTTAAAAAGCTTGGACTTCTACTCTTGTAGCAGGATTTCCTTCCCCGCAGAGGGCCTACGGCAGGATTCTAGCTGTTAGATACCACAGCCATCACCAGTGCATTCCATGACTTCCCAAACTTGTGAGAGCATAACTGTGTTTCGTTTCTGACTCCTCACAATTACTTAGGCCTGGCCCAAGTATCCAACCTGCCGAGCTGGTTACTTGAGGAAGTATCCACAACACAATATGAAAATGTGGCAGCTCAGTCGAGCATTGCAAAGGAAAGTTGGCACTGTTGTAAGTGTATGTACTTCAAAAAAAATTGTGCGGTGGCAAATCGGTTCAAGTCCTGTGAAAAAGGCCAGATTGGGGTAATTCTAGAAATTAGGGTCCAAAAGTATGACATCATAAAGTGAAACATTACCGGAATTGATTTCAAACTATTACTATTTGTTTGGCAGGTAATGTGCATTAATTCATCACTCTTGGAAAATAGAAAACGGGTTTTGGACTTGGGTCAGATGTGACAGCGACACACGAAAAATGAACCCCTAATTTCTGGAATTACCCACATATGTGTTCAGAGGTGTCTTGCCTTCAACCATTCAGATTCATTGTGTCATTTCAATGTGTGACTTCTTGACCTTGTTGGAGCACTTTGGAGAAACCCAAGACTGTTCATTTAGTACCACGCGTGGTGCGCAACCCTGACTAAACCCAGTACAAACCACCAAAAAGCACAACTCTGGCTACACTCCTGAGCAGCTGGTAAGTACAAAATTCCCTGCTGCACTGCGTAGAGAGTGGTTTAAAAAATGTGCGTTTAGCCTAGACTTTGGCCATCGTTTAAAACTACCTTAAAGAAAGCCTCAACCCTAACACAACGTTTTGACAGTTCCCAAGGAAAGACTTTCAACCAACTTCTCCAGTGCCTCGTAAGCTGCCCCTCTGCGAAGCATGGCTTTGACGCTGTAAGGCTGGATCTCTAGCGCCGAGTCACAATCCGATATCGTTTCCTTCAGGTGGCCCGTCTTGGACTTACAGGCAGCGCGGTTGTTGTACAGCGACGCCAGAGCATTCGGGAAGGATTCCTTATCTGTTAGGAGGTCAAACATTTGATATATGTAACGGAAAAATGTGAAATTTAGCATGCTGTAACTCAAGGTCTATAAGGAGGTTTATGAAGAAACTTTTATAGGTTCTGAGGTACCCCAAGGGGAAAATGTCACGTTACCACCTGTTTAAGTTTGCATTTCCCCCCAACAAGCCTCAGTTATGAAGTCTTTTGATGGGTCATTTCACTGTAGAAGCATGCATGTCTATGCAGGCTGTTGAGGAACTGTCTCATGGAAACACTCAAATCATGATATGATTAATTCTCTGTTCAATTTATAACTGACCAGCAGTTAATTACAGAACCACAGATTTCAACACTGCTGTCTCCAAAATGAACACTGTAACAAGGATAGTCAAATGCACTTCAGTTATTTACCACGTGACATTTGATGCAAAATACGACGAGCAAACTCCATCAATTCATTCACTTACAACAAACAGGTCGACAAATAATGCAATTAGCACTTTTGAGAGCATATTTCTAATCTACAGGTATTTGGGGATGTTAAAATCTCTTAAATAGACTGCATTAATCTCTGTCTCATTTGTGGAACGTGTGTTTGGTAACCATTGACTTTCCTCAAACTCTTACCTGGGAGAATTTTGGTGATGGCTAAGGAATACTTCTGCATGGCTTCACCATACTGTCCTGCCTTGAACAGCTCATTCCCAGAATCCTTCAGTGCGATGACATCATCGGGCAGGGGTCGGGAAGGGATGGGCGTGGGCTCAGGCAGCGTCGCCACGACAGCTTGGCCATCATTGCTTTGCTCTGCCTTGGGGTTGCCATTGCTGGACGGAAGAGAGGTAACTGGGGCCTGGCTGCTCTCTTGGTCTTGAGTTACAGTGGCAACGGTCGGCGAGGAACTCCCGTCAGCTTCGCCATTGCCATGCCCTCCGTCTGCTCCGCCCTCGTCAGAATTTTGTGATCCTGTACCGTTGACAAGTGACCCCTGACCTTTCCCAGCGTCCTCTTCTTCTTCACTATCGCTGTCACCTTCAACCTCTTGAATGACCATTCGTCGCCCACTGGGCTTGGGTTGCGTGGTTTCGATTTCACGTTCCTTGTACGGTTTAGGGGAACTCTTCTCTTTGTTTTCTTTGGCTACAATGTCTGCCACAAGATCCTACAAAATGAAACAGTGGAATAACGGAAATAGAAAGTTGACTGGTGGCTTACTTGTACAATAACTTGTCACTGTAACCTACAAGTCCTCCTTGTTTCTAAAAACTGTTTGAGAAAACAGATGGAACAGGTTGAAGTTACAGGCAGCTATCCTGGCTGTAGAATTTGCTAAATGCTAACAGTTAGATAAATATCTTTGGCTCTTCTAAAGTAGGTTTGAAAAGAGGCTGACGGGTCATCAAAGCTTGTTTCTGTGTACAAGAGATGCTCTACTTAAAGGCAGCATGCATGGACACCATCAGCAAAATCTCAAAAATGAGACTGCCGAACAATACTCAAATATCTTACTTGAAAGTAAGCAAATGCATGTAAGAGCATCATGAAATCTTGCCATCCTATAATGGTGTTGTTTTCAAGAGAGCAAAAGGGCTTGTACTTTTTCCATTGATTGTTCAGTCGGAGGATCGTCGGAAAATATGGTTTGTTTACCGTTCAAAATTACACCCATTAACAGGTGCGATGAGAATATTTGATTTCCACACAGCATAATGCCACACATAAGCAGGGCAATACAAGGTCTACATATGCAGCGGGCATTATAATTTGTGTTTTGTGTGTCGTTGTTGCGAAGGTCCACTGTACATGAATGGACACAATCAAAACCGTGCCTTCAGGAAAACCCCCCAACACATTATAAACTGACAGAATAGATATATACATATAACTGTAATTGATAGACTACGTGTAAAGAGGGTTTGGAATGGTTTCAAGGTACATTTTCATTGCAGACAAACCTCAGAACAAATTTGCTGACTACTCAAAGCGATGAAGTCAAAACATGATGTGAGTCAATGGAATGGCTGAGGTGACTAACAGACCTCAAAACTGGACAATTCAGCACAATTACAGCAAATGCCAATGGTGTATACGACCTGTAAGGTAGACCGCATTCTTCATGAATATGGCACATTCTTCAAGAAGACAGCTTTTCCGCTCTCCAAACTGAGAGGGTAGCACTAGGTAAACCTACGACACTTACCAATGCCTGTTTATTGTTTGGCTCAGCATTCAAGACAGCTTCAAGATCTTTCTTGGCATCGGTGAGCTGTCTCAAAGACTTGCGAGCAGTGCCTCGTCGGAGTAAGGCTACAAAAATAAAGAAGAAATGGGAGGCAGCTGACTAAATTAAAGAGCACAGAAACACTGTATATTACAGAAATTTAATAATAAGAGAGAAGAGCAGCACCAGAATAACACTAAGCAAACAGAACAGAACACAACACCATTCTCAAAAAAAAAAATTCAAACACAACACTAACATTAAGCCAACAACTACCAAGCCTTTCCCAAAGCTTGGCCCCTTTGAAATTTGGACTAAATAGAAAGACTGTGATCTTTGCCTGGGGTACAATGTAGAAAAATGGCCCAAACTGAGTTCAAATGAGTGAACTCAGTGACTTGATAAGAGCCTCAAGTCAATGCTGGACAGGAAGCAAACATTGGAGGCATTTGGCTCTCGACAATACAATTCCCATTGTCATGATGCTCACTGGCTCTAGTTGGAAAAAAGTTTTTATACGATGATATGAAATAGATCAACACTGCAGTCATCCTAACTGAAAACAGTAATATTAGGCAAAAGCAACAGAATATCACAAGTACATAGCGCCTCCTGGAAACATTTCACTAATCTCGCCCACTTTAAAACAAATACTACACTGAGGCAAGACAGGTTCTCAGGCCTCACTCTGTCAAGCATACAGGAAGCGTCCTCACCTTTGATGTTCTCAGGCTCCAACTCCAAGACTTTAGTGCAATCCTCCACGGCATCAATGAACTGGCCCAACTTGATCCCTGCAAAGCAACACACCATAGGGAAATCACAAGCTACGCCAGAGGGTTCTAACAACTCCAAGCCTTCTGATTGGAGAAAAGTATTTTGCTCGGGGACACAGCCGTTTCTGCTGACTAGTTAAAAACCAATTTTGGAAGAAAAGTCTGAAACTGACACCATAATTGACAACCGTGCACTTTGGACAATGTCTACTTCACTGACTTGATCAAAGGCTTTGTACTTTTAAACTTTGAATTCTCCTGTGTACACATATATAAAACACAGCACAAATGGAAACATTACGGAGGTGCAGCATTGAGAATTGTTCTGAAATTGGTACAAATCACTCAGAAACACAAGACTTTCCACAGTTTGGGGTTGCCAACCTCAAGCATGTCAAGGCCAACTAGGTATTAGTCACAGCCATTCTTACTTGTTTGTGAGTTTCAACCCAGTATTGTGAACCGGGCCTTTCTGAACTTTGAACTCCCTAAAGGTTTGTTCCGTCTGTAAATCTTACTTGCGAGAGAGCGATTGTTGTACGCCGGAGCCGACGGTATGACCGAGATGCTTCGAGTGTAATACTGGATGGCCTCCTCAAAATCTCCTGCCTTAAACGCCTGTAACAGCAGTAGGTTTGGCATGGAGGTCAATGTGAGTGACAGGTTATAATGTGGATGGGGCGGGGCTTACGGTCGGTGAGGGAGGAAGACTAAAGTTCTGGCAGGGTTTTTCAGGCAATTCATTTTCAAAAGCCAGTAACTGTGAGAAATTACTTTGATCTGTTCAGGAGGTGGATTAGAAAATCACCTCCAAACTTGAGCTCAAATAAAATGATTCTATGCCCCTTTAAAACATTTCGGAAACTACTATGATTGCACAGTTAGCAGTGAGAAATTCATTTATATCCAAGTTGCCAAACTTCACTGCAACAATCTCTCCCCAACAAAATATTTGTATTTGAACCGTGTGCCCCCTATTCCTACGACCCAGAAGTTGTTTACACCTGATCCACATGACAAGGATGTGGGTATTGCACGATGTGCACCATTAGTGTAACATCTTTCTTCATTAAGACAATGGTTACATGCTTGAATGACCTACTAAACTATCTTTAGTGTAACTTACATGTACATGCAAGTACTTTGTGAAGCTCTGAAGAATATTGGATTTTGTGAAATGTTACATAAAAGTGAACGAGGATGATAAAAACCATCAAAATACAGTACCGCTCAGAAATATAGGACCATTCCACGATCGATTTACTGCGAAGAATTCTTCGCGAATTGTGTGCAATTTTAATAACACTTGTCCGGGGAGTTCTTTCTTTCGCAAAGGTAACGGCCGATTTGCGAAGACTCGGCCGCCGCCGTAAGGGAGATGCGAAGCACTGTTTGCGAAACAACTCTCATGTGACTATTAAAACCACTTACATAATGAAAAATCCCTGTCCACCTTCCCGTCCCTCCAATAAAACTAGTGTAAAAGATTTTTCAACCTCTTCGCAATGACATTTTAAGCTTTCACACAAAATTTGGATGCATTTTCAATCGAAAATTAACATGTCTTATCGATGAATTCGTTCCCGGAGTCAAGTCTGGAACCCCATGCTTGGCAGTCTCTACATTGACATAATGCCCATTTTGATTGGTCATCAAAGTCTCCATAAGACGCATAACAAATTTTTCAATGGATGGAATTTCCTTATGATTTCTGAGATGTCCGCTATACAGACGTGGAAAGTAAAGGCCCAATCTGATAGCTAGTGACATTAATTTATGTCTGTTTTGATCGATCTGTGCCAAAATGTTATTTTTCTTGCTTAATTTCTGTTGAAGTGTGATTATTGCAGAAATATCAAATCATTTTTACAATGAACAGATAGAACTGATCAAAAATTAAATGATTCTTTAATTAACAGAAATTCAAGTGATTTTTTTATATTGCTTTAGGAAATTCAGCAAACATATTTACTGATCTTAAATCTTAAAATTTTGCTTTTTAAAAATTCTTCATCCTCATGGACGCCCTGTTGTTTTTCTGTTTCCAGTGATATTGAATTGGTGTTAATTTTTTTAAAAACACTTTCAGCTACTAGGCTCTGTAAAACACAAGCATTGCCTTCACATTTGTGACCCGCTCTGCAAAAAAGGGTATTAACTCGCACCATGCCAAAACACGTACATGTATAAATGACCTGTTCTATTTGAAGCGGGCAAAATTTCTTCAAAAAACGTGGTTTTTGTGTTTTTCTTTTAATAGCTTCTATAATAGTTGTATTTTCAGAATTTGTGACAACAAACATTGATACTGATGAATAAAGATGAAAAATTGATCATTCAGTAAGAAATCCTGTATAGCATTGTGTTTCTAAGTGCTACACTTTATAAGCTTTTTCTCGAAAGGTGCTTTTATTGAATCCGAAACTGTGGATATATCTCCGGAACGCAGTGCACTACAGGGGGTCATTCATATATCAAATTGTAGCTTGTGATGTACAGAATCCAGCCATATCAAAAACTCATAACCTGAATCTGGCCACTTATTATTCATTTTTCAGGAGCAGGTCACATAAGGATAACACTGGAAACTTTTGCTGGTTCAGAGAATGTTTCTTTTACCGTACATTTTAATCCACACAAGTGTTTCATTTTCTATGAAAAAGAAACTCTGCGGCTGTTTATCTGTCTGCGGGAACCTTCTGTTTTTGTGGATTTGAAATAAATAGAATGGGTAGAGGGAGTTTATTTTTTGGGGCAAAAAGTAAATGGTGTATATTACTTTGGTAATGGAAAACAGAATGAAATTTCCTGTACAGACCACTAAATCGGAGAAAAAAGTTGCAGAAGTAAACACAAAATACATGTAATTTGGTTTACGCTGAAATGACAACAGCCCAGATTGTGCACTATAGTCAGATGGTAAAGTTGAACACTGAATAAAGAGAATTGATGAACAATTAAAGCTGGGGTGGGGTTTCTCGGCAAATTAATGCATTTCGTTCCCTTTCAATTTCATTGCCTTCTTTACATTTGATTTTTGTACTGAAGGGACGGGCTAAGCGGTGCCCTTGCCCTTCCCAGATGTGACGAGCACGGCTCCTTCTATGGTTCTTATATTTTCTATTTTTGGGGAGACCGGGTCGATCAGGTCGGGGATTAAGATGACGATTGTTTTCTTTATGTTCTAGACAGGGTCAGTGGCACAAAAATAAAAGCTTTTTCTTGGTTGAAAATGCCAGAATATGTAGAGGGTCGGTGAAATATTTTTTTTTTTGTAAGAGCCAAAAATATGGGTAAGTCCCAAATGAAAACCATAGAAGTAACTACGTTTGACATAGAGAGGAAATGAAGAGATATACATGTATTTGATGTTAAGTAGCTCTTCCACCAAGCTATTACATATGTTGTGTCACTTGTGAACTCTAAAGGAATTCTTGAAAAGTAAATTTAATAAGTGGTGCCGAGTGAAAGGGACTACATGTAGTTAAGTATTTTCAAGCATGCAGTTCTTGTACTGAATGGGAAATTAAAAAGTGAACGAAGTCAAAATATGGCAGTGCATTGATACAGTATCAAATGCTTCACCACATACATGTATACTAGCGTACACGTATGAGCAAAACATGCATGATGGAGACACAGACCTGGCCCTAACTTGAACGCACATACGTAGCATGTACATGTATGTATCCGTATTTCGCAACACTTCCAGGGACCTTATAGCCTCTCCCCAGGATGTCTTACTTTGTATCAACACAGTGAACGGTACGCATGTGTCTGCCAGTAGTCCAGTACATGTATGTGTACATGATACAAGATGCTCGTCTGTCTCTCGACATGAATAACCCTGACTTTGATCAGCATCTTAAAATAAGCTTTGCGTGCATGTAGGCTAGATCTGTGTAAATTCAATAATGAGTATACCGCTTTCCGATCATGAGCATCATGGTATGATTGATCCGGTAACCCTGATATGCTTTCACGGTGAGAAATGCTAATTTCAAGTGTTTTCTATGAACTTGAATGAGTCTTGCCAACTTCATAGAATGATTCCCAAGTCAATAGGCCTATGAGGGCATAGACATTTTTATTTCTTCCCATCACTTCCCTTCTGTTGTTCTCCAAGGCATAGTGAAATGTTGCTCCATTTAAAAAACTTTTAACAAACAACAAAACCTACGAACTGGGATGGAACAGTCGGTTTCTGCACTGAATGTAAGCTGCTGTTTAATTAGTTGCACTTGGTTTCCAGCCTTTTTCCCAGATTTTTTTTTCAAGTCCTCAAGCCTTTATTTTCAATCTGTCCTCCCTTTAAGTTTTAGTCGGGTTTATCAAAGATACTAAACACAGTGAATCGTGCCATCGGCATTGTTTTTTTTTATCCAGGCGAAAAAGGACGCTAGGTTAGATTGGTGCCCTATCGATGTCGCTCTTCTGTCTACGGAAAAATGCAGCGCAGCTTCCTATATATTTCATAGTGAAAAGGGACACAAATTTGTTAATGCTTTTGGAATAAAACCTTATACTTTATATTCTTCCCCTTCTCCAAAATGTGACAATTGTTTTCTTGGGTACTGAAATTGCACCCAATCCACAAAGAATTCTTCGCAGTGAATCGATCGCGAAAAGGTCCCATATTTCTAAGCGGTACGGTACCTAGAAACTTGGAAGAGTCTAGAAACATGAACATTTGAAGGAAGCTTGAATGATCCTGGCACTGTTCCTACCTCATTGCCTTTGTCCTTCTCTTTGTTAGCCACTAGCTCACGCTCTTTATCAGACATGCCTTGAACCGAAAAAAAAAGCCAAGTTAAGCAGAGAAGTACATGTCAAATTTCTTCTTCACCGGGCTTCATTTCAAGTTGATTTTTCAGAAGTCAGAGGGCACTGTGACAACAGGGTCCAATTTCTCAGGGCTGGTTAAGCAGAAATTCTCGCTCAGCAAAATTCCCTGCTCAGCAACATTCAGCTGGGAACCAGTCACATGTAACAGCCACTGCATGACTTCTGTTTTCTACGCTCAACAATTTGCTACACTCACCATCTCTGTTTATAAAAGGGCCTCGGAGGATTAGAACTCAGTGCTGTAGCCTTACAAAATTCATGATATAAAAGTCCATGATGTAGCAAATCTAATCCTCTTTCATTTTTCGATGAGAAATGACATTTTTGATCAGTGAAGAACTTCTTTGCTCAGGAAATATGTTAATGTAAATTTCCTGCTTGAGAATGCACTGCTTAATTAATAAACCTTTTGCAAGTTAATTTTGAAATAAAATCTGGCACACCGAGTTCTTTAACTTTATGTGAACATAACCATTCAAATTCTCCATACTGAAGACACTGCTGCTATACCTCGTGATTTGGGGCAAGCTTTTGCTTAGTTACATAAGAGTTGCCTTGCTCCAACACCCTGCTTTCAATGGATAAGAAGGGCACAAAAGAACCAGTCCATTCCAGAGATGGTGGTCACTATGCAAAAGCTTGCACCGAATCATGAGGTATAGCAACAGTGTCTTTAGTCTGGGGAATTCAAATTATGTTTATGTGTAATCAGATAACTTGGTGTACCAGGTTTATTTAAATCAGATTCAACTTGCAAAAGGCTTATCTGGCAAGGGCAATGGCGACACAAAGCATTTCAACAGTGCAAAATGACATGCAAATATGCAAATTCATACTGCTTGTATGCAAAGTTATGCTAATTGCTTCAAACCGTCTGTATTTATGGTGCTTGGCAGTTTCGCAGGGGATGGCTTCCGTTGGTTGCTGTCCTTCCCTCCTTTTTTCTTCAAATCAATTTCATCGGCAGCCTTTTCGGCGTCAAATTTGTCCCAAGCTCGATAATCAGAAGATTTGATCCTGTCCTTGGAAGGTTTTCCCCAATCTTGCTCCTTGCCCTTCGGAAGCAAAAGTTGAACAGATTAGTTATTTGGCAAACACCAGTTCATAGCTTAATAATTTCATGATGCTTTCATGATGTGGTTTCTTCAAAATATATGCCGATAATCTATCAGGTGCACTAACGCAGTGGCTTATCATGCATAGATTTTTGCAAAATTTATGTCACAAATAATGAGTCCGTCTTGAGGGCAGAGTATTAACGGCAAAAGTGTATGTGTTGAAGACTGCGACTACATCACAAAATTGTGACCCACTTTGTGAAAATGAGTCTTAAGTCGCCAGAGCCACTTTTTGAGTTTTCATTTGTATTGGAAAGAGTTTTTTGTTTTGATGTATCACTCAGTTTGGCATCCTGATGAATGTGGATACTCCATGGTGAAAAATCCTGTGGGTTCCTATTGATTTACACTGTGCAAAATTATTCTAAAAGACTTTTTAATCTAAAGTGGCTCTGGCGACTTAAGACTCATTTTCACAGAGTGGGTCACAATTATGCTGCATATCGGCGCCATCTGTACCAAGAACCCTGTTTATAAGCCTTAAATGTTCAAACTAAAATGAGAGGCTCCAAACATTCATATCACATTTCATGTTCCTCCGGCAGAAATTAAATTCACACTAAAGCCAGGTCTTCCAAATCAGGGAAATTCAAAGACTGAAGCTGCAGACGGAAGAAGACGCTGTGACAAAGCCTGGAGTTGAGATATGGCCAAATTAAGAGCAGAATCAACACTAACCACACGGAAGTCAACTGGGGCGGCCCACGACCGAATCTTGAGGTATACAAATCATCTTCACAAGTACAAACTAAGCGAGTGCCTACTTGAGGTATCAAGTCCACACACACCTTGTTCTTCTTTCCGCTGGTGTCAAGAGTGACTGGTTGACGGATTGGGGGAAGAGTCTTGTCATCATTGCTCAACCCAGGGCTGGACGTGCTCTCCTTGCCCATCTCAGCTGCCCAGTCCTGAGGTGAAGCCAATTTCAATGGTAAAACAGCTTGTTTCAAAATCAGTCCACATCTCAGAGATAAGTGAGATCAAAGGCCAAATAAAAACCCATAATATATCCAGCAGTGGGGTTGTAGTAAGAACAACTCAACCGTAAACCCCTAGGCTCTTGCACTAGAGAGCAAACTGAACCCAACAAACTCCAACAGATCCATTCTACTTGTCTATGTACTTGTACATGCAGGTTACTGTACCAAACCTGATAAACTCCAACAGAATGGGCCCGTTGGAGTTTGAGTGATATGGTATGGATGGGTCTGTGCAGTATAGGATGCCTTGCACTGGAGCAGTACCAAACCTGACAAACTCATGCACAATCCAACAATTGGTACAGCAAGCCAGACACTGCACACAATGACCTCTGAGTGTCCCAACTCACACAAAATCCAACACCATCTCCCTGGGCTTCAGATCCAAAGCCTAATCAAATTCAAAAAGAAGTTAATTGGGTATGGTACTTAACCTGCCAACACCTAGCAAAACCTGCTGCTGGAGTTTATGGATACTGGGCAGTTAGGGGTAATACCTACAAACAGTTTTTAGGTGTATCACAGATTGTGAATCTTTCTTTTGGCTTAATCTACAAAATACTACGACCCAGCAAGACTGAAATTATTAAACCCTCTAAAATTTCATAAGTTTTGGAGGCTTCCAGCAACAATGCAAAGAAAATTGGGGAAAAAGAGTTCCTGACGAAGATTTCTGATGGAAGGAGGAAATTTATCGAGGATACCTTGATATCTGAATTGATTTGCTGCCACTCGTTCTTGTCCACATCAGCTGCAGAGGCAGGAGGCTTGTCCTTCCGCAGTGCCTTGCTGAAAACCAAAGGCAATTCAACCATGTCTTACTGACACACATGTAGTGCTTTAACTCTAAGAGGGCTAAATCCTCAATAGGATCTCAATAGGAGGTTAAACAAACCCTTGGGAGTAAACACTTAAAACATTGTTAAAAAATGCTTAGCAACTATGACCCCCGTTCATCAGGCCATGAGATGAATTGTATGCAGCTGCTCCAGATGAGCTGAATCCATTTTTCTGTTTTCACAAGTACTCAGTTTGTGCTCCTGAGTGGAGAGATGCAATTGCAGTCAAGTGTCTTGCCCGTGAACACAAGTACTATAACCCTGCAAGTTTGACATTGTAACCACAAGACCCTGGAACTCTAGCATGTCTAGCACATACATGTACTTTTCAACTTTGACGTGACAGAGTGCTCTTAACACGGTGCCAGTCTGACCCAGAACTGAGGAATTCAATGCACAAGGCTTCTGCATGAAGCTCTGAGTAACTCTCACTGGCTGTTTGGGTTACCAGAGGTTACTCATGTAATGTGAGTTACCTCTTGGGGTCCAGAGTTGCGATCCTGCCCTCGCAGAACTCTATCAAATCTGGGTAATGTCCATCCTTGCCAGACCTACAAAAACAGAAAAAAAGGGTTCATTTTGCTTGGTTAAAATATATATACACGGCATTGCTGAGTTCAAATACAGGTACAGGTAGTTGGTAGTGTTCATGTGTCGGCAAATTTACTACAAGTCTGCAAGTCCTTCATGTACTTCACGGTTGCTGTAATGGTGATGAAATAATGGTCCAACAATCTCATTTTAAAGATTGAATCAATATGACAGGAGTTATCTTTGGAGACGTTGACAGAGTAGTGTGTGATAAGGACATGTTTAAAGAGTAATAGGTACCATGAGAGCACAGCGCTTCAAGAAAAGGAGCAATCATTTCCTTTCACTTTGCAGCACAAAATGATAACTAGTTAAGTCCAAATCTTTTTTTGGTCTTTTTTTTTTTGAGTCTGTATCAGCCACAAGTTTTTTCAAAATTGCTTGTGCCAAGAACATGCACGACTTAAGTCGTTAAGTCGTCCATGGGTAAGATCATAAGCTGGTTTGCCAATCACTCCTGGTTTAAATACATGTACAAGCAGAGATCTACACGCATGTATGTAATGTGCACACAGATTTCCCCATCTTCTTTGTTATGGTATCAGTGTAAAGGTTTAACTACTCTGTAGCGTGTGGGTACATGTAGTTACGTCAATCCTTTATATCCACTCAGACCTTTTCAAATCCACCAGGAAATCTACGACTTGTCAAGACTGAGGGAGGTACCACAGCACAGTCAATGTTCTTTGACAAGAGGTTTGATACCCCTGAAAGTTGAGAGTGTACAATTTCTCTGGCTGGGGAAAGATCATGAAGGATTCAAGAATTCTTGGGGAGTCAGGGTTGGTCACTATTTTTGTTAGCAGACTAACCTGAGGGCTTTAAGGATATTTTCCAGCTCCTTTACGTTCTTGCAGTCACCGATGTAGCCATAATCCTGGTGCTCGATGGGAATGTCTCTGGAGGAGGACGATGAACCATCCACTGTGGCACTTGGGAAACCATCCATGCCTGAGGATTCCAAACAATCTCTTCGCTATCTGTAAATTGGATAATGCATTGAGCTAAATCAACTGACAGCTGTGCAGCAACCCTGCTTGCCAGAAGGCAATCTTTAGTTCTGTAGCCCAAACACTCAAGGTTTAGAGTAAATCACAGAAAAACTTGTTGGAGCTAGCGTAAGCGTTAATCATTCTTGACCAGGGGCATCAAGCAGTGTCCACAGAAGGGCCTAACGTGGCTAAGGGATTCTATACCCATGTCACTTGACACCTTGCATGTGTCATGTGTGTGATGCATGCAAAGTGCGCGATGTGTTTGGGTCATTTTTGTCTGGCGAATGAGAGGGTGATGAGTAAAAGTGCCCATTTTTTTTCAAGAAATAGTCGGTCGCATGGTCTTACAACCATAAGTCAGAAGATTTAAAAAGAATGGTCTTACAACCATAAGTCAGAAGATTTAAGATACGAACCAATTTTGATGGCATTTGGGGGAAGAGCTGATTGAGAAAGTGGATTTTTTTAGATAAATACACCCCAATTTGATATTATCGGGCTGCATTCAAAAATAATTACAAACTCATAAAAAGTCACATGGAGCAGTGGTTTGGAATTCTACAAGTAGGCCCAGGCCTAGTCAAAGAGTACTTTGACAGTTTGAGAACTCAGCCACTACTCCGTCACTGCCGTGTGACTTTGAGCCAATGTACATGTACATGTAGTTTACAAGGAGTCATAATGATACCGTTTTTTTTAATCGAACTTTTGAGGTGAATGATTCAATTTGAACAAAGCTTTTCAATCAAATTTTCCTGTGAGAGCAAACTTGAGGTACCTACAGTACAGTATAGCTTAAAAAGGGTGTAACAAGGGCTTCACAGCTTAAGACCGAGTATTTTTTGAAACATTGAGATTTCTGCTTACCAACCTCTCCCTCCCCCCTGATGACAATTGTACTGTTCATGCCATTTGTGTTTATCAGATTGCACATGTGTCCAGCCCACAAATGGCCAAGCTTGCTCCGCATATCCATTCAGCAGCTACTCAGGGCAGCTCATGTATCAGCCGATGGTATCAGCTTACAGGTCACGACAGTCCCCCCCCCCCACAACCCACCATGGACAATGGTCAAACTGAGATGCAGAACAAGCTTGGCCATTGGTGGGCCTGACACAGTGGTGAAGTGATCTCTTTGGGAAGTGACAAATGGGGAAAGGGACAACTGGGCGAAGTGGTAAATGGGTGAAGTGGCAATAAAACGTTTGAAACCCGGGGTTGTGAAGTGAGTTACTTACACCTCGTTTGACGTTCGACATTCAATGTTGAACAAGTACATGTACCAGTAACTGTCTGATATTTAATGTTGAATAAGTAACTGTCTCACATTCGGTGACCGCTCAGGATGCACATCCCTAGAAATGATAGAGTGTGAAAGGACAAAAACCAAACTGCGCCATCTACATTTAAGGGTTTGTTTGATCCTGAAAAACCCCATGCCCCGGGTTTCAAGGAGTTGTCGCTGATTGAGGAGAACAATGAGATTAGATTTGATGTACGGTACTTGCCAGGCGGGGCATGGGGTTGGAGTATTATTTCGATTTCAGAAAAGTATTATGAGATGCATTAACTTTCCTACTGGTACATGTATGTCATTCTCAAACAAAGAACTCAACGGACAAGACTTTAGTCATAGCCGGTTTGACCATGGAAAACTGCATTGCCCTGGTTGAAATGGAAGCAGTGGGGTCGCTAAAGTGTACAGAAACACTTTGAAAATAAGTTTAGACCCGGGGCGTGGGCTTGATGTACATGCACATGTACCGGTATATTATTTCGATTGACTGAAATAGTTTTAATCCCATTCTATTGCAGAGATGCCAACTTTTCAAAATGCAAAAGTGTAATCCTATCGCACTTCCAGTTCCCATTTCCCAACTGACCCTAATTTTCGGTGCAACCCTAAACGTTTTCATTGGCAAATTAGCAAAAAAAATTTTGAAAGTTTTTAAAAATCCTGTTGTCTTTTCTTTCAAAACAAACACAACAAACAACTTTTTTTCATGTCAAAACACTTGTATTTACCTGACTAGAATTGTGCAAGTGTGAATTATAATTACAGGTAATTGTCAATTATATTTTCAAATTAATTCTGGTAAATTCTTATTTTGATCACTTTTGTGGCAATTTTTGTCAACTTTTGTCCCATTCAATCAGCACAAAATATGGTCAAAAAATCCTTACCTACCAACCCTATTTAATCGGAAGCAGAGCTATTTTTTCTTGGCCTAACTAATGTGCTTCTCTGTGTCGTAAGATCCAGCGTGGGCAATATTTATCATGTCACAGTTACATGCGTTGCAAAACACGTAAGCTTCTCCATGACAAGACTTGCCCCCTGTTCCTCACAGTGTTAATTGGAACGAACGGATGATTCGACCACACTGGTTTCCACTGCTACTCACACAGCTTATATGCACAAACTGCTGGATGCCAGCGACACATTTCTGACGCGCGCATTTCAATACGAGGCCTGCTCCGTACTGTAGCTCGTGCTCACGTACAGTTTATACACAACTGTATGGTTTGTAGAGTTCGAGTTGGAAATCGTAAAAATCTTAGTCTGGATCGTACATGTACAGTCATAAACAGACTAAACAAATCGTAAAATTACGTCTAAATCGTACAAGTTGGTATCACTGATATTGCCATACAAAACTGTCGCCTGCATTTCTGGGCTTGTTTGACCCCGAAAAAACTCCATGCCCAGGGCTGCCCCTGTGGGAGAAGGTCGTGGGTATATACATGTACATCATTGTGAAATGGCATGTACAATGCAAATAAGGCACACTTTTTTTAGAGTGGCGGGGTATTCTGCAATTACTCAGATTTTTTTTCCACTTCCACGACTTTTGACAAACCGTTCAAAAATGTCAAAGTGCAAATCAGAAATCTGGTCAAAATTCCTTTTCTAGATATTTTCTAAGAACAAGTTTTTTAAACCCTAAACCTACATGTACATAATACTACAATTTACTATTTTCAAGATTAATTTTTGCATTGGGAAGATGTTAATTATATATAACGGTTTTGCCCTTACCCAACGTATATTAATAAACACTGAGCATGCAGTGCTTATTAATATACGATGGGTAAGGGCAAAACCGTTATATATAATTACAAATTACTACTTGTACATGTAGTAAAATGTAGTACTGAGCACTGTCGCTTGTAAGAGGATATGACCATATTGTTCTCTGAAGCCATAAGATACAATAGATAAGACAATGTACATGTACCACACAGTGCTGTGGCACTATGAATGGATGGCTTTATTGTTCTCTGTACAAGTAACAATGGAAGTAACCTAGCCGGAAGTACTAATTTGTAGTGCTAGGTCCTTCAGGCTCAGGCTACTACTTAGTATTTTGTAGTACTGAGTAGTGTAAGGCAACAATATGCTTGGCGGTTAGGGTTAAACAAGAACTTGTCTGAGAATTAAGTGAAGAACAAAATACAGGAGGTGGGTTCTTATTAGGAAAAATCCAAACTAGAAAAGATTGGCTTACTGCGGGCACCATTTTTATAAAACCTCAGAAATTAGGCTTGTCCATCTACTACGTGACATTCCTTCCCATTATTAAGGCATAGTATGTCACACCATCATCTTGACGACTGGACTGAGTGGACAACGTGTCTCAACGGACGACTTGTCTCAACAGTCAACTTGTACTTGTCTCTCTCCTTTTTACGCATGGATGGTCGAGCTGTCTCATCAGTCGAGTTATCTTAAGTAGAGTTGGCAAAGGGTCGAGTTGTCTACAGTGTAGACAACTCATTGGAGTCATTGGAGTCGATATTTTTGTACCTTATTTTAACAGCCGTGGTAAGTTAACTTAAAGGATATTTTTTCGAGTACTGTTAATCGAGTACGAGTACTTTGATGCTCGAGTACAATTTTTGGATGTCGAGTTCCGAGTATTTTGTACTTTGTATTTTCAAAGGGGTAAGTTACAATTATTCTAGTCAGGTGTAACTAGATAGGGAAACACCAAAAGGAAATTGACAAGATTGGAATTTCTTCTCAACTACATGTACATCACATCATTTAATTAAAAAAGCTACCGGAAGAATATACATGTACATTAAGTTACTAGTAAAGAAATTAAAAACACTCTCAAAGATATTCAGTTCCAAAAAAAGGAAGAAAAATACGAATATCACGAGTTAAAATCACTCCCAACAATATTACGAAAATAAATTTAAACATTTTGGGTCGACTCTGCCAGCGCTTGTCTGAACTGGGTACATAACAACAGAACTGGATATCGGGTCACTACAACAAGATTAGCCTACTTGACGTAAGTGATTAGTGGTGCTGTCCAAATATCCATCACCGTCCGTGAGTCGTTCGTTTCACGTCGTTGATTAGAACCATTGTTTTTTTTTTTTAATACATTGGGCCGGCCATATTTGCTTGACGTTCCTAGGGGGGGGCGAGTCGGTCAGGGGGCGAGTCGGTCAAGGGGCGAGTCGGCCAGGAGGCAAGTTGGTAAGAGACGAGTCGGTCAGGAGGTGAGTTTACGAGGGGGTGAGTTGGAAAGGGACGAGTCGAGTCGGTCAGGGGGCAGTTGACCTGACACCTCCCAGAACTGTGGCCCAAGTGTGCGGTTCATCGTCCGCCGCCCTTCCCATGCTCCCACGATGACCGTGAACCCCACAGTCATGACAATTCTGGGAGTAAACGGTAACTAAATCCTGCATTGCTAATGCTAGGCCATGTACATATGTACTGTACATGTACGTACGCTGGCAATATAGGCTGGCTAAGAGGACCGCGCCGATCACGCCGACGTGATAGGCCAACCTCTTCCACATTTTCAGCAGAATACACATGTAGGTTACATTAATGGAATATGAGCAAACACAGGCAGCTTCCACTAATAATTTGAAGATTTGTCCACAGCAGCAGTCAGAAACGTCTTGCTCATCATCTACATCTCGTCTAAGAAAATTTGGTAACAAATTAGGCCTACCTCGTACTTCGTAACAAAGTTTTCTCACAAGATGTGGCGGAACTGCAACTGCCGAATTCGTTAGTAGTAGTTGCCTGCTTGTGGTAATTTCCCTCAGTCTGAAACCCTTTTTCGTTAATAAAATGAAACATGTATCTTGATTACAGGAACGAGACTTATCTAAAATTGTCTGGTGACTGGAATGCTTTTGATGCTTTTAATACGAACAGACTGCGAGTGAAATGGCGCCAGTCGTGATCTCGGCGTACTTAAAGGAGCACTAATGGGCACTTCTCTCTAATAAATTCCAAACATAAAAATTGCTTGGGGAAAAAATCACATCGTGTTCAGTCAGATTATTTAAAATTAATTCAAAGTCTGACTATTCCAGTTTTATTATTTTCGTTGAAAACAGAAAGTTCAAATGTATATCATCAGCTGTTTCCATATTCTTTTTGGCATCTTCGGCAATAATATCATTTTATCTCATTGCGATGGACAACCACTTTAAGAAGTGAGTATCGACGTAGTTGAAAATGGAAACCGAAACGGCTATCACAGCAGCGTATGGTGTACAATAAAGGACACTAACACGAGGTGGGAAAATTCCTCACGTACACGTTGTGTCTCAACGCGCTACTCATTTAAACAGAACTGTGCAATTATAAGCACTGGCCTTTGGTATTTCGTCTCCATCCTCCATACTCGGAGGTCAAATCTAACAGAACTACTATCTGATGCATTTTTGGGTTTGCTGTATACAAATATTACCCTTTTCAAATGGAACAGTAAAACTAGCCTCACCTGAGGCGATCAATCCGCCTCGGGCAGAAGCACCCCCTCATCGGTTGAAAGAGCTGCATGGGTCGGGAGTCTTCATTTTGCTATGTGATCATGATGACGGCATTTCCTAGTCATTTGTGAACCAGCGAAGTTCAGTTCTCACCAAAGGAGCCTCCGTTGCAAAGAAAATAGCACCCTCTCTTGTTCCAACTCGAGGCTCACATGGGTTATATTGATCCAACGCGAACTATTGTGATATGGTAAACTGGATCTGGAACAACTAAAATATAGCACAGACGCTAATGGGAAAAATCCAAGACGGGAATTTTTCGAGATTGCAGGACTACTTAAAAGGTTATCTGAAATATTATTTAAATCTAAAAACTTTTTTTAAAAGTTATTGAATCATGACGCAGACGACTTTTACTACGATACGATGGTAACCATGCGAAACGTGTTCACAAAACCACTTAAGGCACTCTAAATGGGCCACTTAAGACACCACACTTAACAAAGTATTAAACGTCTGCGCGTTTATAACCCTCCAAGGGTGTTTGCGCAGTACGAAGCACAAGCTGGAGTATTTACAGTCACTTTGCCCCATTTCCACTTGGCCTCTGACCACTTCGCCCCATTTCCAATTCGCCCTGTCCCCTTTTCGCCCCATTTCTCTTTCGCCCCTGCTACTTCACTCCAGTGTAAACTTTTTTGAGCTTCACCCTAGGGAAGGCTACATGTTTATCATTATTTATTCGGCATTCTTCACAAGCACACAGCACAATACAGACAGTATATAAATACATGTAAGACACACAAAGCCAGCAGCAAATGCAAGGAGATGAAAAAGTTAACCTGATAACTGTGACCCAAGGGCCTCCATTTCCGATACTACTGACCATAAACAACACATACAAAATATATAATATATAAATCTAAATGTTAAAAAAGGTTTAATTATTCCAGTAAATAAATAAGTAAATAAACAAATAAATAATAAATAAAAAGTAAGAGGAATAAAATGAATAACGTAAAACCATCAAGACTAAATAAATTGGGTAAAAATGAAACAGGATAAGATAAATATTTATAGGCTAAGATCAAGCTAGAAAATGGGGAGTTAGCAAGAATTAATAATAGATTAGTTAAAATTAAAAATGGGTTATAAGAAGGCAATAAAGCTACAGATTTTTGAATCAATTGATATCATATAATTCGGTCTTGAGTGAGTTGATCCATCATTTCAGAGGTAGCTCAATAACCCCAGTTCTAAGAGTCTCCGGGAGTTCTTCCCAGTAACGGGGAAAAAGATATTCACTGGTGAGTAGTGAAGCTTTTGGGTCTGAGCCCTGAGGTGTTGGAACTTGACCTCGTCAAGAAGTGCTGAACCAAGTTTGAGGTTCCAATTCAGGCAATTTGCAAAGGAAAATGTTGCAACTGTTTTAAAGAGCACTAAAAATCCCGCTTAGATTACAAACTAATAGCAAAAACTATTTAATGAGATTTTCTGAAGAAACATCTGAACAAAGCAAAAAAACCCGAGAGAAAATAATCATTAAAGTCGCACCCATGTAGGCTACTTTTTCAGTGGCCCGCCCACACTTCTTGACGCCAAGGCCATTTGTGCGTACGGGTGCATAATTTTGAATTTATTAGTGAAGAGGTCTATTGGAATTCAGTTGAGCAATGGTCCTCATAAATAATTCATTTTTTTTTCTCGCCCACCTACGGAAAAAAAATCGTCACCCGCACGGGCTTGTAATGTTAGGTGTCCTTTGCTGTTCACCTCTGCGCTGTAAGTTCACCATTTTAGCGGCCATTTTGGCCGACAATTACAAATAGTACACGTACGGACAAAAAGATGAGCGGAAGAAGTCCCGTAAAAATAAGATTTGCTTCATAAATACAGATTATTTATTCACAGGCTTTTGCTTCATTCGAGAAGCAATGTATCAACCACACCAGCCACGGGATTTTGGTAAGTTTAATGGTAAAATAATTGGTGAATTTGCAACGAAAAATTCTTGTGTTCCAGCGCTGCAGCGTAGCGAAAGTTACAGTTGGCCTAGTACGTGTACATGCATGACATTGCAATGGGTTCGTTCGTTGCATGCATGTGTGCGTGCAAAAAAGTCCCGTGAAATGGTGTTGGTCAATATTCAGACAGGAAAGGACTTTTCTTTGTTTCACTTTTTTGTCCAATTTGCTAAATTCTTGGTAAAAGTTGAAGGTATAATGTTTTCGTGGTTTTTGGAAGGAATGTTGCATCCTACATGTAGGCCTTGAGGCCTTGGCTTGGCATGTCTCCTTTTTTCACAAGGCCAAACAAAATAGGCTAGGCTTACATGGAGCAGCTAGTTGTGCTTCTGGTCACCTGCCCCAACCTAGCAAATTGCGTCAACCCTAAATCTTTTTATTCAAAAAGAAATAAAATGACAAATACTGTTGCTGACCCTCATGCTTTCAGGTGCAAAATCTCTGCTTTCTTGTTGAGTAGGGCTAGGCCTATGCCAAATTTCATTTTACACTTTTTGCCATCAACAGGCCAGACTTTCCTCGTTTTTCTTCCTTGCCCAAAGCCTAAACCTAGCCAGAAATAGTAATTTGTAGTGCTAGGTCCTTCAGGCTCAGAATGTTACATAGTATTTTCTAGTACTGAGTACTCTAAGCTAAACAATGGTACTGTTAGGTTTAAGGTCAGAATGTTAGTTTGAGAAAGTGGACTTTGTTTCCTTATTATAGGAACAGGATGCTAATGGTAATGAACCCCATTATATTTTGGCCTAACATGATGTGGGCCTACGAACCAAGGCTAGTACCCCCAGAACTGTGGGGTCCTATATCCATCCCACTCCGACGAATCCCACAAAAAAAGCCCTATTCTGCCATACGTTTTCCATGACGTTCAACAGGACATGTACAGGGATTTTGTGATCCTTGTGTACCCACAGAAATGCTGCTGAATCTGGAATTGAGAAAAATTGCTGGTTTTCTTAGGAAATACTGAGAGAACTTTCTTGAATCCCCATAGACTTTGTACACAGTCATAGAGGTACATGTAGAATCAGGATGCAACATTCTTTCTTCAGTATTATCTGTTCAAATATAGCATCCACCTGTATTCTTGGGAAATGTATCAAATTGGTTTCAATTTATGACTGAAGTATGTTTATTTAGTACAGGCATATTTGCGGAAAGTTGGCCCGAATGTGTTCAGCCTGTTTTTGTGCACATGGAGGGCCCGTTTGTTTGATGCCCATCTGGATCCCGATCAGTGATCTGTTGTTGGTTCACTGACACCAGAACCCGCCTAACAGTTAGCGTGAATCAGCCCGGGATCACTTATTGCGATCCAGATCTGTGTGAATATATTTTTTGTCTTCAGCTGGTACACCAGTACATTGTCCATAGCCATGCTTTCCTCATCAGGGGCATTTATGCACCTGCCGTAATACAGGTACAATGTACCTATATGTACCTGCACGTAAATGTTCCTTCTGTTCATAAAGTCCACATGTCCATTGTGCCTGCAGTTATAAAACAAAGCAGTAGACAAACTTTTGACGTAAAATTATTTTGTTGCTCTAATCAGCTGCCATGGGCCTTCCCCCGCCTGGCCAGCAGCCCATCCGCCCACCCATCATGCACATAGGTATGCCCCCGCTCCTCCCAGGCCTCCCCGGACTGCCCCCAGCCCAGCCCAAGCCCGAATCCAAGATGCCACCCCGGCCTGGCTTCGGCAAGGACGGTCGACCAATCATGCTGCGGGCCAACCACTTCAAGATTACCATCCCACACGACACTATCAACCATTACGACGTGACCATCGTGCCAGAGAAGTGTCCTCGTAGGGTGAACAGGTAGGAAATATGAAAGTGGCCTCTTCCAAGGCCTTCTGTTATTTTGGAAACATTTCCATGCCTGGATATCTCTTGACACCCTGTGCACAAACTCTGTGAGACTGGTCAAAAATTCCAACGTTTTCTACCAGTAAAATAAATGCTTCAATATCTTCCCTGCTCACACATTTGAGAGGATTTGTTATCCCTTTCTGATGGCTGATTTATTACTGGAACAGGGTTTCCCCAGCCTATTCAACTCTGAGGCGGCCCACCTCACTGATTTGAGTGACCACTTCAGGCTTTTTTGTAGAATTTTACCACCTCACAGTAATAATAGACAAAGATGGAAGGGAACAGTATAATAACCAGGGTTCTCCCCACGTACAAACTTGCGTATCAGGCCCAATACGCAAATATTTCTGCCCGATACACAAAAAAACGGGCCTATCCCATTTTTTCATCCCCAATACGCATAATATAATTCTGACAGTAAGGCTCAGAGTTTTCTTACATAATGCAGATTGCATGTCCAGAAAATCTAGGTGAAAAAACAGTTTAGTCCTGCATTTTTCCATGTACTGTGCATGCATTGTGCACCACGCGCCGGCGGCCACACACTGCACACCGTACATGTACATCGGCACCGAACGTTCCTCGTGGCTGGTGTTGCATGAAATCTGAACTTCCGTCATGGGCCTCGTTCATACGCCCGGCATGGCGGCAGCCGTAGCCCTGTGTAAGAGTATTAATGGCATCTGGGACGGGGACGATATTTCTCGTTGCCATATCACCGCGCTTGGTCTCGCGCACAATGGCAGAAACTCAATCAAAGATTTTAGCAGTCTGCGCTGAGGGTAACCCAAACGAAGCAGCCACCTGCAGCGGATATTCTTTCTTGCCGATATACAAGAAAAGCCTTGCTGTTTATTTTATATCAAGACAAAATCGTTTTATATTTTTATGACATTTGTTTAATCCCTTAAGCTAATATTTTTGCCTTACAGCTGAATGGAGCTCATGGTTTCAGGTCTGATCAGCAAAATGGAAAGGTTGAAGCATGTATTACAATTAAAACTGAATAAACGGTGTTTATATCATAGATTAAACAGCCACTACATGTTGTTGCATGTCTGAAACCTGAAATGACTCTTTTTGTGCCTACTGGCCTAATTAGTAGTCCAGAAAGGAAAACTGGTCATTTGTTAAAATACTGATATCCAAAATTAAAAAAATAAATTGAATTTTTTTTTTCCTGAGAAAAGGTACTTGAAAAACCCAGGAAATGCTGTAAAATGCAGCTGAGAGCATCTAAAGTCCCAAAATTTCGGGGCCCTTGGGCGGGGTCTGAACCCCCGCCATGGCTTTGCAAAATGTTGGTAAACCACAATGGAAATCCCCCACAGTTTTGAAAAATCCTGGGGAGAACCCTGATAATAAGTTAGATATTTTGAAATAGATTAGATTCGAATTGTTCAGAATGGTGAAGAGGGACACAGAATCTAAGATTCATTTATTTTAGAGGGGAAATTTGGAGTAAATGGACTATAAGACCATATAGAATTTTTAGGTCTTTTTGAAGAGACTCCCTTTTGTTTGAGACACTAGAATTTTGGCAAACTTTGCTTGACCACCTCACAGTGATCTGAAATGCTGTACTGGAGGAAAAAATGAACCATGTCTGTTCATTGAATTCTTGGGAAGCCTCATTCAAGGCTCAGGCATTTAAAATGAATGCATGCCCTTGCTGTTGTTTACACTCCAATGCACTCCAATATTCCTGTTAAAAAAGTGGTTATGTTTATTACATGGCCCTCCAGTAACGGCCACACCACTTCCACTGTGTACACTTCAAGGAACTGCAAAGAAAACTGGAGGTCAACTTGGTCCAGCTACTGCATTACACTGATAAGCAAAGCTGCATTCCACAATCCTCTCGAGTACACTAGAGTGTACATGTACATGTCCTTCTATTGGGCTGTGCAGTAAAATCACTCCACTGGTAATGCAAAGAATCCTCAAATGCACACCAGCTGCAGTGCATTGGCAGGTGCTACTGACTTGCAGTAAATTGCTCTCAAAGAGCAAGGGTCAGTTAGTTTTCATAGAAGACCTCTACATTTTTAACTTGCTGATGGGTCATTCCATAAATCAGGAGTCCCATTGTATTGTGCCCCTGTCACATCTGACAGTTGAGTTTGTGAATTCAGAACACATTTTCTAATTTCCAAGAGTTATGAATTAATACAAATCACCTGCCAAACAAACAGTAATAGTTTGAATCAATATCAATGATATTTCCATGTCAAGTGACACAGGTTAGGTGACACAGGGACATAAAAATGTCACACTTTTGGACCCTGAATTTATAGAACCCTCTATTCAAAAGTCGCACTTGTAGATGTATTGTTTTTCTTAATTTGTATTTTACTATTGTCATAACCTGTTTAATTCACTAAATGGAAAGTCTCTGTAATTTAGCTTCTAGCTGCAAACGAGAGTTTAACAATAAACCGTAATAATAACAAAAATAGTACTGTACCAGAGAAGACTTCTTCAGAAGTTTCACTCTTCTTCACACCCTGATGCAACAAGGAAGATAACTAACCATTGACCTTTGAATTTAGCCGTCAAGCATGGCTGCTGCTGTGGAATACCTACATATGGGATGCCGTCTTTGCCTGAGAGATATTTAGCAGAAATTTGTGCAGAAAGTTGGTCCGAATGTGTCTCAGCTGTTTTTTTTTTTTGTGCGCTGAAAGTCTCTGTCGTGGTTAAACCTCACCTCTTTTATCCTGCCTCACCTGTTCTGCAGGGAAGTGATGGACACCCTCGTCAAGCACACCAACAGAATTTTCCAGAACTGCAAGCCGGTGTTTGATGGTCGTAAAAACCTGTACTGTCGGCTGGAGTTGCCCATCGGGAAGGAGAGGGTGAGTGGTTGCGAGTTGATCACAAGTGGCTAACCCAAGCTGGAATTAGTCATTGTATATCAAGATGACCCTGTGTGTGTTTTCCACTCGTAAGCCGTGTATGAATGAAGCAGCCACAGCCTGAAGTACGTAGTACCTGTAGCATCTGTATAGCAAACGGCTTCAGCCACTAGCCAATGGCTTGCATAGCAGCATGTTTTCTTTCCAGCCACAGTTGCAACTTTTGGGCATAGTTATGTAAGATAAATATGGATGATTTACAGTGCAGTGCACCACCAAGAGGTTGTTATGGAGAGGCCATTTTTCAAGTTTACAGTCGAGAAAACATTTACCAACTTGCCATGATTTGCATTTCAGCAAATGCCAGTGGACCATTTGAGGATATGCTTGATTGATGGGAGCATTTCTTGCCTAACTAGAAAGAAACACCATTTTATATCAATTAAAACCGTTACGCCAAACACTTCTGAATCGCCAACCCAGACAAAAACAGCAAAACAATCCAAGTTCCCTGCACGCAGCGCAGCCAGCTTAAAGAACTTCTGTCCACCATGCTCCCACAATCCACTGAGAAAAAGGCCTTTCCATGGCAACCTCTTGGTGGGGCATGGTATTGTAAATCACCCTTATTGAGTCTGGATAGACTGGTAGCAACTCAATGGACCTCTCCCCACCGACCCTGTGTGCATTTGCATTAACAGCAGCCCTGAATATGCACAGTGCCAATAGAAACTCTGTTTTTGTTACTTTAGTCTTACTAAATGCTTGTGACCTTTGACTCTAGGTTGACCTGGAGGTGACCCTACCGGGAGAGGGCAAGGAGCGTACCTTCAAGGTGTCTATCAAGTGGGTAGCCAAGGTGAGCCTGCAGGCCCTGGCTGATGCCTTGGAAGGGCGGATCAACATTATCCCCTATGACTCGGTCCAGGCACTGGACGTCGTCATGAGACACCTGCCCTCCATGACGTAAGTTGACAAATGGGGACAAGTCAAGAAAAAGCGAAGGGTGTGATTTCTTGGCATTTTTCCAGATTTTAGAATTTTACCTGCATATCATCAATTTTTGATTGTAAAATCATAGAGTTTTGCTAGTTTGTCATTGTTTGCAAAATTTAAGTGCAAGATTTACCTAATCGTGGCCATATGGGGGAGAATTCGTACCGAGTTAGCTATGGAAGCGAGTCATGATATGCTGTTGTCCTTGTTCCAATCCTACTTGGCTTTTCTAACTTAATCTTTATTCACAACCTCGCCCTTGAGACCCTTCCAAAAATGTGAAAATGTTGATGGGGAGAAATTGGCCTCTACATCTGTTGTTTCTGTGGCAGAGATATTTCACAATCCAGTCCTTATCACCTCAAACTTTTTATGTAGAACAGTAATGGAATTCTAATTCAATATGCTACAAGATTCGTTTTGAATTGGTTCAAACTCAAAGACAATTTAGGTTTTCCTGTGAAGAAGACAAAGTAAAATAATTGTAAAAAGACAGTATCGTTACCATGTGATCATTCATCCTACCTTGTTGTCTGTCCTTCTGTTTGCAGATATACCCCAGTGGGGCGATCTTTCTTCTCACCCCCTGACGATTATTTCCATCCCCTGGGTGGGGGAAGGGAGGTGTGGTTTGGTTTTCATCAGAGTGTCCGGCCTTCCAAATGGAAAATGATGCTAAATATTGATGGTGAGTTTGAACCGGACCGTTCTCCAGGATCACCGCAACTTCTGATTACTTTGAATGTATCCAGTCTGTGTTGGTTTTTAAAAATGCTTGGAGACCTTATTCGGGAACAGCTGGCAACCGTTGAATTCAGCCACCATTAACCCTGACCGCCTCGGCCCTTTTGGCTAGGATACACCCTCAATCCTTCCAATTCCTCCAACTGCCCCCGTGAAAAAATCGGAGACAGCCTCCGATATTTCTTGAATATGTTCTATGGAAGGGTGCCCACTGCCTCAATCCTCCAAAATCATTCAGCAATTCTTCTCATCATGTTGAGGCAGTGTGATTGCCATCCTGGAGCAGACGGAGGATTTCACATATAATTTGGGCATGAATTTATGCATGGCTGAGCATAAACAACACAAGGTCTAACCCACAACTTTGAGACAGTGCATCCTATGCAGTTTTGCTGTGGAGCCTTGATACTCAAAAATCTTCCAAACTTGCCCGGAGGATTTTGAAGGATGGAGGATCATTAGGGTGAATAAACTCATCCACAGGAATTCACCCAAAGCCATCCTCAATCCACAAATTCTCTGAGTGCTTTGATGAGTGCACTATGTCAAAGACTTTGGCCAGACGTGATGTGGTTTATGGCTAGAGGATTTTTGAAAGATTGGAGCAGTTACCACCTGTCCAAGGAATGGGTTCAAGACTCGAGGGATTTTGGCGGAGTCCGGGTGTATTTAATTGTTACCTGGAAGCATGTGGTGAATTTCTGAAGGATTGGGGAAGGGTCTCGTCAAAATGGGCCTAAGAGTTGGCATTGATGGTGGTTGGGCAGTACCTTCTTGAATCAATCCTGCCAAATTCTCCAAAATCTAGGTGGCTGGTGTAGAGAATGGAAGGGTCCAGAGATCATTGACTGCTTTCTGATGTAAAGATGAGATTGCACCAATGTTTGGTTTTGGTTTATCATGACTGATGTGTTGTGTTTACAGTGTCCGCCACTGCTTTCTACAAGGCCCAGCCTGTGATAGACTTCATGTGCGAGGTTCTGGACATTGGAACCAGCGCTGACCAGCGCCGGCCACTCACAGATTCACAGCGAGTCAAATTCACCAAAGAAATCAAAGGTGAGATATTTGTTTGGCACAATTTAATTCTCACATCCTGAGTACTTATTCTAACCGTCACTGATATCCGATCCCACCCACTAAAACATGCGCTTCTCATTGTATGTATTTTTTTCAAATTAGTGGCTACGGCTGTCAATAACATGGGCGCTTATGGAAGCCTCTGACTAGTGGCCATGATGAGTTCCCATAGACACATGTGTAACTGCCAGCCTCAGCCAAGCAATTCAGACATGGCCTGTTAATGATGAGTGAGCCTCACCTCAACATCGGTCTAATGAAGCCCTTGATTAGAGCTTTTCCTTGTTAACAAGTGTTGAGAATTCAGTGCAGTTTCTTGTTACTGTCACAGGACTGAAGATTGAGATCACACATTGTGGTAACATGCGTCGCAAGTACCGAGTGTGTAATGTCACTAGACGAGTTGCTCAAGCTCAGACGTGAGTAGCTTTTTCATGGATTGTAGCACCTCATTGCATCTAAGCAATTTCTGGTTTGTAACGAAGCCTCCTTTTACACTGGTTTGTCCACTGTACTGGCCTACAAGTTCCCCCTGCAACATCTGTGCTGGGTAGGCCCTGCAACTTTCCCTGCCGAATTCAGTTTCAGATGCCCTTTGTCTCACAGCTCAGTTTTCTTAAACACAAGCAAGGGCCCATTTCATCGATCTATTGAGCACTGAAGTTTGTACTGCCAGAAACACATTTGCTTAGCAGAAACAGGTTACCAACCAAAACTTCGCGGTGTGCAGATTGTTTGTGGCCCGGTACTCTGCCAGTTTTTGCTTAGCACGTTAAATTTGCTGAGCGAAGTGCTCTCCTGAGCAGCTCCTGAGCTGGGTCTTGGTGTGGATTTCATTGATTCAGAGACGTTTTGGTTTTTGTTGCTCCAGATTCCCTCTAGAGTTGGAGAATGGTCAGACAGTGGAGTGTACAGTGGCCAAGTATTTCAAGGACCGACACCGGCGTATATTACAGTAAGTCCATTTGATTGATCCTATGTGACTTTCAGGCTCTGGCCTAGAGCTGTGCCGAATATCCAAGTAACCGAATATTTGATCGATTGTTGAATATTTAAATATTATTTTCCGAATTTGAATATTCGAATGCAGAATTCATGAAAAGGAAGGGAACGTTTTCTTTTGTTTTAAATGAGTAAAATTGAACTAAGGAGGTTTGTTTCAAGCTGATTCAAAAGAAAAGCAACAAAAATTTTACGATTCAAAAAGTTATTATTCATTAAACAATTTAAAAGGAACAGAAATTTTCAACTGGGCAAAAAGTATTGTTTTTCTGTTAATAAATCTTGCTAAATCATGGCTTAAGATACTCCCAGATATGAGAAGCTATTGTATTGATTATAATGTACAATTATGTGCATTATTGCAATTGATTTTTGTGTATGTTTTGTTCATCAACAATCTGCCGGTTGGTATGACCAAATGTTCGGATATTCGATTGAATTGAAGGTCAAAGTTTCGAATAGTGAATTATTCGAATTAACTTAGCCTTACTGTAGTAAATCGGCATAATTTGTTTGGCAGTCATTTATTATTCACTACCCAGTCAAAAAAATGTCAGATGGATCGGATTAGGTGATGCTGATATGCCCCTCAAACGATGAACTTGGCATTCGAGGGAGTGATTTGCTCATGGCTGTAATCATGTCACTGCAGTCAACCACAAAGAATTTTCTGATTTATTTCCAAAGTACTTTGTAGGATGTTGCAGATCCCGGGTTGGTCAACAGGGGTTCATGTTGAATGGAAAGATTTCCAAATGGCCCACAGGTTGTTCAGTGAGTTGTATACCTTGCCGTCAGACTGGAGTCACTGTAAATGTTGACTCAAGTCCCGTCTCATTGCAAAGGATTTTGTATGTTTGGATTTTAGATGAAGTGTTGTCCGGAAAATTCTCATTTTTAAAAATCCGTTTTCTGTCTTGGATTGAAGCCCAAAGCAGTAAATTTTGCTTTTCATCCTCACCTTTTTCATCTTTTGTTTTTTTTTTAAACCTTAGGTACCCATTTTTACCTTGCCTGCAAGTCGGCCAGGAGCACCGTCACACTTACTTGCCTCTAGAGGTAAGCACAGACTCTGAACAGCTTTTATTGTTGTTCAGATGCTTGTTTGTATTGTTTTGACTGTTTTAGAGTTGTTTTTCCCACGGTGGCTCAGGGAAATTCGTATAGTTATACTTTTGAAGATTGTGGCAGAATGTAATTGTTCCTTCAATATGTAATTTTCATTTGACCTTTGCCATAAATAATTTCTTGTAATTTACTCGTGATTTTGATTTGTTTTGCCTCATTTTGTCACAGGTTTGCAACATAGTGCCAGGCCAGCGCTGTATAAAGAAGCTAACTGACATGCAAACTTCTACCATGATCAAGGTTGCTCAAATAAGTTGCCGTCTCCACACTTTGTGTCCTCTCCAAATCAAAACTTTTTTGTGTGTGTGTTTGCATTTTTTTGGCAACTAGAAACTCACTACACATGCCTGAGTTGAAGTTTCACTTGATCAGAGACAGAACTAAAACACGCTTTCTGTACTGGGGACTGCATTTTTCTTGAGCACTTAGTAGACTTATAATATATATATATTTTAGAATAGATTTGCTTTAACGACAGCGTCTCCGGTGTAAAGGTATGTGTCAGTGACTGTATTTGTTGAAAAGGTCTTGTTCAAGGTTTAAACACGCGCTAAGATTGCAGAAAATAATCTTGGAAAGAAGACTTTTTTTGTTACAGGAAAATTATGGCCTCTTTAAGTCAGGATCGTAATACACGTGTCATAGACTCCCAGAGGATTTAAAAACTCAGAAATTTTTCTTGGTTCGTCTGTTGTCCCAATGTAGATTCCCTTTTGTAGACTTAGAAAAAAAATGTTATTCTGGCTTCCTTTCAGAAAATACTGAGATGCAAGTATTGCCCGTTCAAGTGAAACTTCAGCAGCTTCCTTTCTCTTTGGACTTAAGAAAAAGTTGATTTGAATTGGACACAGTGTGGAGGCATCCCTTACTTGAAACCTACAAGCGCTTGAAACAGCTGCTTGTAGAGTAGGCTTAGATTGTAGATCTTTCAGAATAAATCGTAGTCTTTTCAATGCCATATCTGACTTCTAGCGCTTTTGGGTAGCACATTTTCTTGACCGGTTGAGATTCTTTAAATAAATCTCAAACAAGTACTTGTATGCTGTTAGAAGGTTTTTCTTAAAGAATGCCGGAAATAGAAGGTGCTTGATAACATTCAGCGTTAGTTAGATACTTGTAACTAATACCACTGTTGCATTCATTCCAAAGGGTATGTATTGAATTTGTTTCTGTATTTTTCTATTAGGTTTTAATATCCATCTGAAACACTTGAACATGTTTTATAATATTTGTTACGTTTACAGAGATATATTTAGAATGGTGTCATTGAAGACCAGTTCCATTCTACTTAAGTGTTTAAACTACATAATGACTGATTGTTGGCAGGGATTTGCATTCTAAAAACACCGCAAACACCATGTTCTTGTATCTTCAGTGCTTGCTTTGAAAACCGTCAGTGTCGTCACTCAAGTGACCATGTAAATTCTTTTTTGACAGGCAACTGCACGCTCTGCTCCAGACAGAGAGCGGGAGATCAACAACTTGGTGAGTGTACTTCGTTGACGTCTGCTAAAAGAGTTCCTCATACTTTGAAACAACATGCAGAAAAAATTCATGAAAAAATGCAGATTGTAGGAGTTTTTCGTATTTCCGCGTAAGCCTGAATAACGTGTTTCAGAGCCTTGCATGGCTCAGTCTTTCCTTTTCATTTTTCTTGGCTTCCCGTGATTGCAATGAACTAGTATGCTTTTATCACTGCTGCATCTTATCCCACTGCTGACACCAAATTTCTGACCCTCTGGTTCAACCCTTGTAGGTTCACAGGGCACAGTTCAACAACGATCCCTATGTGCAGGAGTTCAGTCTCAACATCAGCACTGAGATGGTTCGGATCGAGGGACGTGTCCTCCCGGCACCGAAGATCCAATACGGAGGAAAAGTTGGTGTAGCTTCCCCTGTGCTCCAACTTTCGCCAATTTTCAGTCACCGCTTACTCCGCTGAAAAGCCCAAAGGCCTGGTTTTGTCCGATTGGTAGATTTTGAAGAACTTGGTCACCATTGCTTTACAATGGATTCAAGCATACCAATTTGTGTCATTGGTTTGAAGTTGCAAGGAGTTGATCCCCAGTTCAAAATGCCCAAGGGTTTAAGGGTGAGAAATGAAGCAATGATTGTGATGAATAAAGGTGGATCTTGTGTGTTTTTTGTTCAAAAAGCAGCAGAGTGGTCGGATGTTGGCGATCCCCACGCAGGGCGTCTGGGACATGAGAGGCAAACAGTTCCACACCGGCGTCAAGATCAGCACCTGGGCCATCGCCTGCTTCGCCCAGCAACATCAGTGCAAAGAAGAAGCCCTCAAGTAAGTTCAGGAGCCCAGAAGAAAATCGCTTGCCAGAGTTAGTAATAATAACGATATCAAAGCGTTCATAAGTTGCACAGTATCTGTCATTCAAAGGTGCCGATATGTTACTATCCCTGCACGTGTGCCTGTTTAGTAATCTTTGTTTTGGAATGAATGTAGGAATTTCACCAGCCAACTCCAAAAGATCTCCAGCGACGCTGGCATGCCCATTGGCAGCCAGCCCGTCTTCTGCAAGTACGCCCAGGGTGCCGACCAGGTGGAGCCCATGTTCCGCTACCTCAAGAGGCAGTTCCCTGACTTGCAGCTCATCGTGGTGGTTCTCCCAGGAAAAACGCCCGTCTACGGTAAGGATCTGATGCTCAGCCACAATCAAAATTAATGTGTTGGGATTTCATGAGATGAGTACGGCAGAATGCCGTACTGCTGCACACTAATCTAGCCGCATTTGAAAAGATGCCACTCACGTTCACTGGGAACAAAGGAAATTATGCAACACCTCACAATTCTGGGCTCTCGCAAAATCTGGGTTCTCTTCACAAGGCGGCAGACCTGGCTGAAATACTCAGGAGTCAATGGAGGTTGCCTGTTAAATTTGAAGTTGCATGACGTATTCCCGGGGGATTTTCAAGATTTTCCGTTTTCAAAATTCTTCAAAAATTCATAACTTCATTTACTGGACGTTTACACCCACACGAATGACTGTCTGGTGACTACTCTAATCTGACAGACATCTATCGACACCCGAGTATTTCAGGCAGGCCTGCTGCCTTGTAAAGAGAACCCAGATTTTGCAGCGTTCAGTAATTTTCTTTTGTTCCCGAAATTGGCCCAGTGGGCTGCTGGTGTCTTTTTAAATGCAGACCAGATTGGCGTGCAGCGGTATTGTATTGCTCATCCCTGGAGCGCTTTTGTCCCCAGTGGTAATCCGCTCGCACTGAATGTAAAAATCTTTGTTAAACCCATGTGGCTAGCATATGTCTAGCTGATTGGAAGGAATGATCGACTTTAGAGACACTTGCAAACATACCAGTCTTACTTAACCAGTGTTCTGTTTGCATCATTTCCAACATGCACTCTTAGCTCTAGCGGGATGCAAACAGTTGTGGGCTGGTCATGTGGAATTGATATATTTGCTACCATCAAGCATCTCACAGTCTCCCATTCCCAGCACAAATTCCCAGGGAAGTTGTGAGCTAATATCCCGTGTGGAAGGTTGTTTGGAGGTATTAACTTTTTAAGATGGAAAGCTTGCGGTAAGCACCATGCAATATCTCTTTTTGAGTCTGTGTGGTTCGGATAAGAACCGGAGAGGCTCAACGTTTCGGACAGTGTGCTCTGTCCGTTGTCAGGAGACAGTGAGATATTGCATGGTGCTTACCGCAAGCTTTCCATCTTAGTCGTCTGTCACCATGAATAGCTTGAAATCCCATATTACCCTTTTTGTTAATATACTTTGAATTTTCAGCCGAGGTGAAGAGAATAGGTGACACGCTCCTGGGCATTGCCACCCAATGTGTCCAGATGAAGAACGTCAATCGCACCACCGCCCAGACCCTCTCCAACCTCTGCCTCAAGATCAACGTCAAGCTGGGTGGTGTCAACAACATCCTGGTGCCCAGCCAAAGGTGGGTGTGCAGTGCATGCATGCACAGATGAGGGCGCTCTCCAAACTCATCAAATGCGTGTGCAAAAGTTTGTGACTGGCCGAAATTGACACATGCATCCGAAGCCGCTTGAATGCCACTGGTTAAAGGCTACAGCCTTCTCCTATAGACTTGCATGTTAATCTTAGCCACAGGCGTAACATTTTGATGCAGCCTCCTATTTGCGTAGATTTAGCAACTCGTACTCCAGCCCCCAGCAATGTGGAATTAAGCCTCACTTGTCCAAAAAGTAGTGGCTACAGCTGATAATCAAACCTTGGGGCATTGAAAGCCATTGGCCCATTAGCTGCAGCCACAGCCATGGCTTTGGACACGGCCCTGTCCTTATGATTGGGGCACATTTCATGGTACATCTCAAAGCTTGGCTGAAAGGTTCTACTGACAGTAGCTGAAAATGTGTGCTGGCGGTGAAGCATATTTCGCTGTCGGCTGTGTCCAGATTTCTTTGCTATGACTGAAAGAGCACACACCTGTGGAAGCCATCAGCCAGTGGCTATCCGCTAGTAGCTTCATACACTTCTCACAGACCCGCTATTTCAAATTGTAGCTACCGAATAATTTAAACATGGTCTCGACACACTAACACCTGTAGATGCACAGAGATTTACATTGTGGCTCCATCTTACCACTTCATTTATAAATCCACATGAAAGCTTTAAGTGCTCTGAAGTGATAAGCAAAGTCTCATGAGATGAAGAAGTTGCTTTGAAAGTACAGATTTGGGGATTTTTAATAATGTCTTTCAATTTTGTTTTTTTTTCAGACCAGCGTTGTTCCGCCAGCCTGTCATTTTCCTGGGTGCCGATGTGACTCACCCCCCTGCTGGGGATGACAAGAAGCCTTCCATCGCTGCGGTGAGTAGAAGTCCTGTACTTAGCGATGTAGAAACCTGAAGGAAGTAGCCACAGTTAGTTCATCAAGAGATGATGCTGTGGATTATTGGAATCATACTGAGGTCCTTTGAACCCTGGCTTTGTTTCCATGTCAGACTTTATCTCTCATAACAGAATCTCTCCCGGGATAGTAATGTTCAGTGGAAATCAAAGTAATCCATCTTTGGGTTGGCAACACAATTTGATGGTCTTCCTGCACAAGTATTTTGTAATTGGTCTGAAAACTTTCAAAGATGGGCTGTAAAAATGTAAGCAAAGACCAAGACGAAGCTAAGACAATGAGAAACACCCCAATGTTCATCGTAGGTCGTGGGTAGCATGGATGCCCATCCCAGCCGCTACACGGCCAGCGTCCACGTCCAGCAGCATCGACAGGAGATCATCGCCGACCTCAAGGTCATGGTCCGTGAGATCCTGATCCAGTTCTACCAGACCACACACTTCAAGCCGGCCCGCATCATCCTGTACCGCGACGGCGTCAGCGAGGGCCAGTTCCCACAGGTAAAATGGAATGATTTCATGCTTTAGTCAACAGATCAAAGGACAGGTCACCCCAGAAGATATAACAGATTGATATTTGGTTTCCTAAGGTCCAGTAAGGGACGGCGACCATTTAGACCCGGTTTGAAAAGGGCCCCCCCCCCCGGTAGCCCACCCGGTATAATGCCTGCCCGGTATTCAGCTGCTCCAGGCTGGTATCAGGCCTGTCTGCACATTGGCATTTCAAAGTCCCTGATGAAAGGCTTCTCCCACCATGCTTCCACAGATGAATAGGAGTCTAAGCTGAAGGATTAAAAACCACAAGCAGGTTCCTTCTGGGATAGATTACATGTACCAGTACTTGCAAACAAAAGACCCCAGGACGGAGAAGTTTGAGATCAACCACCAGTCCAGCATCCCAGGCCGGTAGCCAGGCCGGTATGAAAGGGGTTTTTGCAACCGGGCGAGCTTACCGGGGGGTCCCTTTTCAAACCGGGTCTAAATGGTCGCCGGCCCTAATATATTGGTCACCATCAACATGAATGTTAAACTTAACACTCTATGATGACATTGATAGGTGAACCAAACGTTTTAGCAGGCTGGAATTAGTTGGGGTCAGAGATACAGATCACCATCAGAACAGCCTAAACTTGAAGCATTGTGCTACTGTAGTTGGCAGATTGCCATAAGAGTTTGACCATTTGGTATTCCTCTGGTGCAAAAATGTCAAAGGTCAGGGTCACTATTTGGAAGAGTTGATTAGAATGTTTTTGAAAGACCCATCAAGTTTCATGTCCTTGCGATTAGGTATCTTGATATTGGTGATGGGTTATTGGGTCAAGGGTCACAGGCCCTGGGGGAAGGTTGAAGAGGATTTTGATTAGTTTTCACATTATTCTGTCTGGATTTTCCAGGTGCTGGCCCACGAGCTGCGTGCAATCCGAGAGGCCTGCATGTCCCTGGAGGCAGGGTACCAGCCCGGTATCACATTCATCGCCGTACAGAAGCGGCACCATACTAGGCTGTTCTGCGCAGACAAGAAGGAGCAGGTGAACACACTTGGCATCAAAGCCTGCATATCGGCAGAGCCCATGAAAGTTAATCAACCCCATATGGGGGCAATCACCGGCGGCCTTATTTCTTTCTGTGGTGATATCATCACCAGCCTCTGCTAAATTACATCAAAAGCCTACAAGTTCTTCCTCTTTCTCCTTTTGAATTTCTGGCTGTCACGAAGTAAGACACGTGTAGGCAGTCTGTGATTTCACCTACTATTTAATATTGCACTGTGCTTATCTGCATATATCATGTTCTGTACTGCTTGACCTTTGATTTTTCAAAGTATGGTGTGCCTATCTTACAATACTACAGGATTGGTTGATTGGGCTTCTTTTTTTTCACTGGTTCCATCTCGTTGTCCTTGCAGATCGGCAAGAGTGGTAACATTCCAGCTGGTACCACGGTGGACACTGGAATCACCCACCCGAATGAGTTTGACTTCTACCTCTGCAGCCACGCTGGTATTCAGGTAGAATACTCCAACCTCAACAGTTTCCACAAATCTTTTTTTTTTTTCAATTTTTTTTTCTCTGCTGCACGTACCAGATCTCTCTCGTTGGATGCCATCTTTGTAGGAAAATTGCAACTTTGTGTACCACCGGGGCAGATTCGTACGTGCGTGAAGTGCAAATGTTCCATACTTGCCCACGTGTTGATTCAGATATCTTTACTGTCTGCCATGCTGACATTCGGCTTTTGAAATTACTTTTTTGATCACAGCATGATGTGTAATTATAAGAAGACTGTTTCAAGATTTGGTTGTAAAAGTGTTCGGCAAGAGACAGTGATTTGCACCCATATGTGATTACTGTCTATTAAAACAGCCTTGCAGTGCCAACTTTTTCCCACAATGCAATTTTTTCCCCCATCCATTTGTGCCCTGTAGCATTGATTTAGTGGTGTTGACGATTGCTCCAATTGTGTGTCTGTTTCGAAATGTCTGGTTGACCAAAACAGATCTTTTTGTAAAGTCTGGATGGGTTGTGAATTTGTTTCTTTTTTTGTTACATTTTCATTTTTGTTTATTTATCCGCAGGGGACAAGTCGGCCGTCCCACTACCATGTGCTGTGGGACGATAACGACTTCACCGCTGACGACCTGCAGTGCCTGACCTATCAGCTGTGCCACACCTATGTCCGCTGCACGCGCAGCGTCTCTATCCCAGCCCCGGCCTACTATGCGCATCTGGTGGCCTTCCGGGCGCGCTACCATCTGGTCGAGAAGGACCACGACGGTTACATCAGGTAGGCACCACGTGAAACGTGTCGCAAAAATAGGTCCATGTGCCGATGACGTCCCGCTTTGTTTACATGTGCACTTTCTTACAGGAACTGGGCGGGGATGGTTGATTCAAACCTCCATAGGAAACTGTACAGGTAAACTGAGAATGACATCATCGGTTCATGAGTTACATATTGCTTGTACAGTCAACTTTTGTCAAAACAGCATTGCAAGGACATGCCAGATTTATCCTTTCGTGATTTGAACCAAAGACAGAAAAGAAAAGAATTCACGAAACTGCGACCTCTGAACTTGTACGGTGTAATGGTGTTCGGTCACAAAAGTGCTCTTTCCATGGAGAGTTGACCATGCAAAGTTGTAGATTCGAAAACGTTCGGAGTTTAGTACTTTGTTGGGGTTAAGGTATCTGTGGAGAGCAAAGTTTGTAAACTTTGGTTCTTCTGTCCCTAAGCAAGCCATTTTACTTCAATGAAATGTAAGCTTGTGCTGGCCAAGAAGCCTGTGGTGGTCAAAAACCTCAATCGTTGTCTGTGATACCCCAGTTCCCTATGCTCGGAGACTTTCCACATTATGATGAAGAATGTTCAATTGACAAGAAATGTGACTTACAGATGGTTGTTACTGTGCCCGTCAAATGCATCCATGCATGTGCAAATTGTCACCTCAACTATAACCAAAGCTGTGTCTTGTTGCACTTGACGATCAGCTGCCGATGTACTGATTTCTGGTCTTTTCCCCCCTTTTATTTGCAGTGGTCATCATTCTGGAACCAACAGCAAGTCAGTATAACATCAGTTGATTTTATTTTAGTTTTGGTTTCGATGTAGCTTTGCTCTTTTTTTTTTTTTTTTGCTCATTAGAGAAAAAATCAGACGTACCTTTTTTCGGCTTTTTATCCCCTGAAAAGCTTTAGACTGTTTTGTTTTGCTGTGATGGAAACAGTGTCCGCATTTTGTTGAAAGTTAACGTTGTTTTCTGTTTTTTACCTTTAGTGGTGATGGTAGCCACACTACAAGCACCAGTGGGGGGCGTAGCATTGAGGAGATGATGAGGGCGGTGAAGGTTCATGACGACATCCTCCGAGTCATGTATTTTGCATAGTTTGCTCAAGGAGGAGGAAGAAATCGTCAGGGTAAAGTCGTCCAGGAAAAACAGAACAGTAAAGATCATTCCTCTGTGAATTTTGGGACTCAACATTTTGGCCAAGAACCAGTCACAGAGTGATATCCACTGTGTGGCCTTTTGGCCGGTAACCCGTTTGTTTTTAAGCTTAAGCAAGACTATTTTTATGTGTTGAGCAGATTTCCATGTTCAGCGGTTTTGTGGCGTTTGATTTTGTGCAGTGTCCCTGCAGCGTCAGGACAGAATACATCACAGGGCAACTGTTCTGGCCCAGAAGCAGCCCAAAGTTATGGGATGTTATGAGCTATTTTACACAGAGATTCCGTCGTGCTTTGCAAAAAATGCCGTTTGCAAAGCAGTGGTTGGAAGTTTTCCGTAACGTTTTGGCCTGCTGACAGTTCTTTTTTATGATGTTTGCCATTCATTGGAAACAGTAACGCTCACCTATCGTCCCTGTTTGGGGGAAATGTCTCTCTTCAAAACTTTGTAAGTGTGGAATATGTCTGCTGAGCAATAAATAGGGTTACCACTCAAAAGGATTATGTTGCCTTGGTGAACTAGGGAGTGTCTCATAATTCGGAACGTTCCATTAGGAACACCATGTTCTCATTCCAGAACAGGTGGCCGTTCCACCGGGAACACGGCATTTCCATCGGAACACTGCCTGGGAACAGTCTGTGCACAGAATGGACCATTCCCTCGATGCAGGAACGTTCCGATGGAACACTGATGTTCCAGTGGGATCGGTCCAACAGAACGTGAATGTTCCCGACTTTTTTGAGGTGCTCCCTCATGACTGAGTGTTAGTTTTTTTTTTCATTCTGGATGAATCTCATTAAAGTGTTCCATCAACTCGATGACAGTTTTTCCTAATTGTGAAGAAAGTACCACAAATATTTCTACTGCACAATAATTTTTTTATTAATTCCTGAAAACTGACCAAGTGATACGGCAATTGTAACAATAATGCAATAAGACTTTAAAAAGAAAGTATAATATTCTACTAGATTAGAGAACTTTCAGATGTGCTGGACTCCAACCTATAATTGTTGTCCCTGGCAATATTTTTGTCGAACCGTGGATATTCCAAGTTCCCCATTTTTGGAGATACAATAAGATTGTAACACTAGGAAGGGTTTTTAAAGTCATCATATGGATACTTGTACGTTGCTTACATTCTGTGCAGTGTGTGTTCAAGGGAGTACATTACACTCGTTATTGATTGCAAGAACACCAGAATTCACCAAAACACCCGTTCATAGGATTGCCAGTGGGCTGGGGTAACTTGTTGCCAGAGTTCAGTGAAAATCAATTGGGATGTCGTTTGACTGACTTTTCTGGGTACCGATACCCTGCATTTGCCAATTCTAGTTCCGCCAGGACTCGGTTCGAGTCCTTTTTAAAGCACATTCGATGGTGGTTATGTAATAAGGTGGCATTTTCCCTTTTGCAAATGATGTCCAGGGTTTGCTCTATGTGGGATTGTTAAATCTGGACAGAATCAGAATCGATGCCAACAGTGTTTGACCTGCCGAAACACACTTGCTTCATTTGATGGGTGTACCATGTGTAATGTGGTGTTCCCCCCTGAATATATACTGGGCATTTTCCTGCCACCTCCAATACTGACCATTTAACCCTGGCCCCCTGGTTAAAATAAAAGATTAACTCCTACTTGTGTATGTGAGCCACAATTACCAGGATTGTGAGCCATTTGTGTCAACAGTAAACCGTACCATTTGAATCATAGTGCGTGAACCAGTGTAATGGGTACCAGTGAGCCATCCAATAAGCCATTTGCGAGTTAAATTTGAATAAAATCTGGTGCACTAAGTCATCTGACTGCAAATAAACATTACAATTTGAATTCCCCAGACTAAAGACACTGTTGCTATACCTCGTGATTCGAGGCAAGATTTCGCATAGCGACCACCATCTCTGGAATGGACTGGTTCCTTTGTGCCCTTCTTATCCATTGAGAACAGTGTGTTGTTGCAAGGCGTCTCTTATGTAACTAAGCAAAAGCTTGCCCTGAATCACGAGATATAGCAACAGTGGTTTTAGTAAGGAGAACTCAAGTTATTATGTTCACATGAATTTAAAGAACTCAATGTACCAGATTCGGGTCAAAGTTAATTCGCAAAAGGCCTATTATCTACTGTTTTACACCACGCATAAAAACTTACTCGTCCCTCCAATTCCACGGTTAAAAAAATGTAGAATTGACTGGTAGTCTTTTAAAAGCCATTATTGGTTCTGTAGCCTGCGGCTTTAGCAAACGTACTAGTTTATTTTGTGTGTGTGTATTGGCTGTCTTTAATCTCATTTTGTGTACATGTTTTTGCCTGCTCATCAGCCCAGCATTGTGTTACTTCAATTTAATCACTCAAGCTTGTTTATCTTCACTGCAACCACCTCACTATGCACAAGTGGTCTTTGTAAATAACACACGAAATAGTAGTAGTGTCAAATTTATTGTGTACAGTAAAAAGTGTCGGTGTGTGGCTGTTTCATGTCTTCGGAGAGACAGCCTGACAAATGTTAACTCACATTTGAGCAAATCATGTCACATTTTGTGCAAAGTGGAACAAACCATGAATTATCACACCCCTGTAAATATGTGCAAAATCCATGCTTTTTGCCCCTTTTACTCCGTTCCATCCAAAATGTACATACATGTATTTAGAAGGGAAATGATATTGGTAAATGATGTCAAGAAACAGTTGTCCTGTTTTTTGTCCCCCGTTTTTTTTAATGGACATCGTGAACCGTATCGGTTAGGAAAAGCAAAAAGAATTTGGAGTTTTTACCAGATCTTCGTAAAAATTTGAATTGTCCATCCAGGTAAACTTTGAAGTATACATTATTATGAAGTACCAATTTTGGGAAATCTATTCGCAATGAACTTGTTTGGTTTTCATTTGATATTGAAATTTTCTAGTGTAAAATGAAGGACTAGATGCTGTTGATGCCTCATCAACTTCAAAAGTAACTAACAGAGAAAACAGTGTTCGACTTAAACCATTACTTACAATGGAAGGGATCATTGGAGATCCTTTTTTTTTTCATTAGAAAGTGACATGGAGAAGTACATAAGGTATTACGTACGAAGGGTCTTTATGCAAAGGTCATACTTCAGAGGTTAGAGGTCATAATGGTGCGCATGGAAGCATGGTCTGGGCCCAGTTTCACGGAGCACGAAAAAACATTGCCAAGCAAAGACAAACTGGTAGTCAGTCACAGGGCATAAATTCTGAATGACATTGTGGCTGGGTACCTGTTTTTTGTTTTTGCTGAGCAAATCCTGTCCAGACTCAGCATCTTACCAGCTTCCAGGAATTGGCGCTTAGTGCCGGAATGCAGAGGTATAATAAGAAAACAGGAAAATGCAATAGTTTTGACTTTGAAATAAGAAGCTATTTATTGAGAAATATAATTGAAAGTATAGCAATAGTCCGACAAAAACTGAAAGAGGATAAAATGTGTCAAGGAGTTTTGTGTAATAGGATCATTTTGACAAAACAAAAATCATTAGTGTAACGATTAGTTTTAGATGGATAAGAGGTTTTCTTTTTGATGTGAATTTAGCTTGATCATGATGTATACCAGTAGTTTCATGTTATTTTAGACTTGGTTTCTGAACAGTAAAGGGCCATATGAAAACGTTTGAATGGCAACAGAAAACTATGCCTTTTGTTTATACAACTGAGACTCTTTTGCAGTTTAAATAAACTCGAGATTTACCAGTTTTAGTGAATAATTCTTCTTGATGGGGCATTTACCTCGTAGAATATTATAGGATCAAGATCATTAATTCCTATTTAGAAACAAAAACAAACAAAAAACTAAGGGAAAAAACTAAATTCATCATCTCAACATGGGCGTCGCCAAAAGAAAAAAAAATGTTCTGAGGAGATGTAGCCAAAGCACTCGGTAGTAGCAAACTGACCAACCATCAACAGTGGAAGGGGATCACTTCCAAGGCTATTTCATGTAAATTAGTGGTTTTCATCCCCTGATCTCCTTTCTCATTTCTTTTCCTTTTTTTTCTCTCTGTTTCCTTTCTTTTTAGGGGGAGTGTCCCCTTTCCCCCACCTCTCCCCCTTCATGACGCCCATGCACCTCAGTACAATACTTTGTTATAGTGCTCTGATTTTTCTAACTAAATGTATATTAGCTGGCTAGAATATATTGCTGACACTGGAGCCAAGTGTTATCGTTCATTTTACATGTATTATTTTATATGTGATTGTAACTGCACAGTTTTGTGCTCGATTTCACTGATGTATCACTTGGAAGGTCGGAATTTTGCAGTGACTACTAATTTTGAACTTCTTTTTGATTTCGAATTCACGCTGTACAATGTTGTCAAACAAGGAAATTGTGAAAAACATCAAGGTAATATTGTGTATTCTCCAAATTACTTTTTTATTTAATGCTGTTATAATACGCTGAAACGACGGAAATTGCAAGAATGCTAGGTGAGTTCTGATTTTAACTTCAAAAAAGTTGTGGTATTTTCCAAGTGAATGCTTTCCAAGTGAATTATATGCTGCATTTTTTGGTGTGGATTCAGAAAAGAGCGGTTTTGTGCTGCAAGATGTAAAGAAAAATTCAGTTGGATCGTGAGAAAGCTGACGAGAAAAAGGTAGAAATAAGGACAAGTTTGACAGTGATACTGTTCGATCTTACCTAGGTTCTTTTAGGCGAGATGGGTCTTGTGTAGGTTTTATGCAGTTCCTATGTAGAGTAAGAATATATTTTGCAAGTATAGGATCCAACACACTTCCTTAAAATTACTTCATGCTTGTGTGAGGATCCTGTCTTCAAAGGTCCACTGTAATCTATTCATTCTGTTCAGGCTGTTAAGGGTATGGTGTGATCACTCGTACACTGGGAGAAATAAAAAGGTCTGACGACTTAGGCGAGAGGTGAATAATACATGGGTGAGATATTTTCTACATCTTGGTCAACATCTAGTCTGTAGGTGCCAACAAATGAAATTCAACATGGTAGCCAAAATTGAATCAGCATATTTTCTGAAATAAAATCTCTCTCGCAATCCTTGGCTTTCTGTTGGAAAGAAGTTACTGCTTTCTTGCTTGGACTTTTTTAAATTTTGATTGTAGTCCGAAAGATTGAAATTCCTGAATACTTCAGCAGGTGGAAACACGGAGGGGGGGTCTCAGGTAATGTTATGCGTAGATCATTTTCCAAAGGTTGAATCCTGTTAGCGCCTTTGCAGCGAAGTACCGTCATCAATATCTTTTATTTATTCGCTACAAAGTACACCTTTATTCATGCATTTTGCTGTGGCTTAGAGGCATTTCACTTTATTGTGTCAATTATTTTTAATGAGAAAACAAAAACCTTTGTATGCTTTCAGAAAATAAATATTTACATAATTTGGAAATAACGTCAGAATAAGAGTATTTTATTTCTATCGCTTTTTTTTCGTTTGATTGTAAAGGCTGTGTGTTATCATAATAAATTATAAAGAAATTATTTTGTATAAATGTCAAGTGATGATTTGTTTTTCTGTGTTAAAATCACGGAACAAATAGAGCTGATCAAACGATACGGTTGTTAGCAGATATTGGCTGAAGGGATGATTTTGATGAAAGAAATATCGAATGAAAACATGATGTACTCAACACATAGATTGGCGCTTTGTCATGAAAAAAAATTGAGGGGCCTTTTTCCAAGCATTTGACTTTTTTGACAACGCACCGGTGATTTAAAGTAGGAACTTGTCAATCTCACGCCCCCATACGTGGTACCAAATTACGAGGAGACGAATTTCAATGACCTCAGCTCGTGAAAAGTGGGCAAGTTTCATCTATGCAGTCAAGCATTTGCCTTCTAAATCTGTGCTGACTTTGATGAAATATTCCGTGCTCTATTCGAAAGCCCCGCCTGGGCGTCCAAAGAAAGCCCCGAAATTAGATACGTGTAATTAAATGTCGTAGTTTTACCAAATATCCTTTGGCACTATTTTTTACATCCTGTTTTTTCAGGGGCATTAATTAACCCTTGGAGCAAAATATTTTTTGGAAAAACGGGTATAACCTACATGGATGGATTCTATATCCACTCAGAAAGTAAATACCCCCCTTGGGAGAGGCCTAATAAGCACCTTTAATCCCTTTATATGAATTATTCGAGCTCCAGGAAACACATGACATTCTATGTTATATTTTGGATGGGGGGGCGGGTACTAGGCCCACATGTACATTGCAGCCACTTGAACACACTTATAAGTTATAAGCCGATCCCCACTTTAGCCACATAAGCCGCCTCCCCCCAGTCAAGCCCCAGACATGATTTACTTCCCATAGAATAGCCCTTCAACAAAGAAGCCAGAAGCAAAAAGGGCTGGGATTGTTTATAACTGCCAGGGCAGCACAGGAATAAACACAGTGAGGTCGCTTAAATGGTTGGGCCAGGGCCAAGCTTTCCATGGCATGGGCTAGGACGTGGAGTGCCTGTCTGTCAAGGCTCCAAACTCACCAACTGTTTATAGCAACGTTAAAGGGACTCTGCAGTCTTGAAGTATAAATATACATATAAAATGAGGATTTAAAAAAAATCAGCTTAATCGAACGAAAAATGAACATGTTATTGAAAAAATTTGAAAATTGGGATTTTTTTACATCGCAATGGCTCTTTTGAGGGTCTTAACCAACCGGGCGCCGCTGAAAAATAAATGGATAGAGGGCGCTGTCCTTTGTTATTTGGGCTGTTTGGGCGCTTAACTTAACGCGGTTCCTAGCACAAATGTTGCCGGCTTTTATCAGAGGCCGTGTCCGAAACAGGCTTCCTGAGCTACGGCTAGGTCTATTGTCTACGCATCTCCACGTATTTCCAATGGAGCGAAGACCTAGCTCTAGACAAGAGATTAGGATGCAGCCAGAGTGATAATATAATAATGTTTGGGCTACTTGCGTGGGATATGTGCCGGTACTTCCGGATTTCGTGTTTTCGACGGCAGTCGAGTAGCACGACGAAGTTGAACCTTGCACCTTGAACCTTGGGAAAGGTTTGGTAAGTAATCTGAATGTTTCCACCATTGAACAAATGAGCTGTCCCTAAAAAACCGCAAGACAGATTTTATACGTGGAGTACCCCTGATTGAAAAGAATCGGTAAGGTTTGAAAGAAAGCACGTCATGCCATGTCATGCAGCCATTGACAGTCACGAAAATACCACACACGGCCCCAGCCATCTTTAAACGTGCAGAACAAAGATAAGAATGACATGAATGGGCCTAGCCCCAAAACGTAAGATGAATGGGGACTATAATAGGACTATACTTATTTTAAAAAAGCTGTCACACAACTGACAGTTATTGAGAGTGCTTGCCGCTGGTTTTCTGTGGTGTGAATTGGCAAAATGCTCAAGAATTTCACCACGTTGAGGATATAAGTGAATAAACCTCCTCATCTGACATCTCACTTGACCAAGAAGGCATGTATGAAATTTGATTGCACAAATAGCTGTGATGGAAGGGTAAATTGGCACAATCAAAGCAGCCAAAATGTGTTTACGTGGTTTATGGGCATTTGCATAAGACTTTCTGTAATAGGCCTACTGGACTGTGTAGTTCAGAATTTGGGCCTCCATGGATAGATTCATGACAGAAGCAAGTGAAGGGTAACAAAGGCAGGTATTGTAACTGTGTGTAACCTAAATACATCGGCCTACTGTGTGTGTATGAGAGTAGGCCCCAGGCCTGTTTTAACCTTTGTCCGGACTAACGTTAGTCCCATTAACTAGGACTCTACAAATCACCTTGCTTAACATTTGGACATGGTCAGCGCCCATGTCCCAGTGTTAAACGAGTCCTAGTTTACTTGGACTCTGTTCAGGCATGGTTCAGGTATTGTCAGAATGAAATTAAGGGGAAAGAAATCCATTGGACCATCATGTTTTTTGTCGAAAACTCTGACCCTACTTTTTACACCTGTTTCAGACAAAACTTAACACCCTATGCACAAACCTTACGAGATTGGTCTACATTTTTTTTAGTGTTTTGTAAGTGAATCTCCTGATATTTTCACTGTTAAATGTGACTTTTAAGGATATTTTTGTGCTTTCAGATGGCTAATGGGTCACTGCAGGGGAAAAGTAGTGGTGTGCATAGGCCTACATGTATATGGAATTCGGAAAAAAATGTTGCATCCTGACTCCACTTTTCTCATCATATATCATCTCAATAAAAGTCAGTCGTTACAGAAATGCTGGATAGACACGAATTCTGGACTAAGAATCATTTACCGATGTTGTTGGGAAATACTAAGAAAATTCTCTTCACTCCCCAAAGACTTTATACAACTGCTGAATTGGAGTCAGGATGCACCATTTTTTCATGGAATTCTTTCCTTGTCGTTATGTCCACCGAGGTGCCAAGCCCTCACTAACTTCCCTCTAAAATTGGCAGCCACCCCTTTTAAGCATTTTGATGTTTACAATAACCCTCCAAAATTGTGACAGGTTATTTTTTAGAATTCTTCCCCAAAATAGCCAATAGGCCCCATTGATCCAAATGAAAATGAGCCAGTGCCACTTTCACTGTGTACCAACACAGCACAGAACACATGCAGCGAACATTTTAGGCACTGAAATCTTTTCCTTGGCAAATTCTCATCTGGTCCCATGATCTTGCTGTTTCTCTTGCGACGTCAAATTGTGTTTACATTTGTGTGTGAGTTACATGTACTAAGTTGAATTTTCTTTTTCAGAAAATGCTGCAATCATGGCTAACAAGAAATGCGCTCATGGAGGTCAACGGAATGGAGATAACGTCCACCCTGCAGTCACATGGATAGGTGTCGGTGAGTCCAATGGCTTGATGATCAATTATTATTGACCGTTAACCACTTCCTGCCGGGGACTCCGGGATCGGAGACGTATGGTTTATATGGGTGGCCGGGGTCTCCGAACTCGGACAAAGGAAACAAGGCCATGTAACAAAAGACCGTACTCCGAACAAAAGATCAGGCTGCTGGGCATTACCGACATTTTTAATTCTCAAAAGTGGTGATAATCCAGCCTTGTTTTGAAACCTATACCAGGGTTTGGGGCATTGAGAGCGAGCGGATTACCACCGGGGACAAAAGCGCTCCACCACTGCAGCCATGAGCCACACAGCAAGGCTGTACGCTAATCTAGCCCCTATTGAAAAGAGGTTAGCAGTGCACTGAGCCAGGTTCGTGAACAAAAGACAGTTATGTAACACCGCACAATCTGGGCTCTGTTTACAAGGCTGCTGGCCCGGCTGAAATACTTGGGCGTCATTGAAGGTCACCTGTCAACTTAGAGTAGTGCCGAAAGATTACTTGGTGCGGCTATAAACGACCGTTAAATGAAATGATGAATTTTTGAAGGATTTTGAAAAAGGAATAAATGATAGGCATGCCGGCCCAGCATCATCAACATTGAAAAATGCCCCGGCCTTAAATGGTTAATTACTGTCATTGAATGTATCTGCAATTTTAAAATGCAAAATACTTCTTGATGCCAAAATAAAACTAATGAACACCAAAACTTAATTTCATATTTTTTTATGTGTGTAGTCACTGTACTCCTTGGATTCCAAGTACTTTTCCCGCCTGGTGTTGTTGCGTCAACTATCTCCCAACCTTCTGTACTTCCTACGTCATCAGTAAATGTGGGAACAGACCGGCCGGAGTCAGCGGGAAATGCCACTACTCGTACAACTCCAGCTACTTCTGCAGCCTCAACAAGCCATGCCATGGCAGTAGAACCGAACAGTACCACACAGCCGTTAGACGTTCCCCTCAACAGTAGCGACAGAGCAACCCAAACACCAACTTGGGACATTTCCACCACCCCGTCAGATGGCAATAACCAACCAAGTCCAAGTGACCAAATGCCTGTCACCTCAACTGCCAACACACCTTCAGATTCCACAAATAATTCAAACACAACGTCAATAACTGTGAATCCAGTCACAAAGATGAGCACTTTGAGTACCATTACACCAACATCTGGAAGTTCTCCTTCTGCTTCCATAACACGAGCTTTGACTTCATTCTCCTCAACCACGCCATCGGATGCACCCAGCCTGCCTGCATCCACCGTTAATAGTACTTTACCATCCCAATTTAGCCCAACCGCAGCACCGGTAACTACACCCAAAGGGATAGCGGACACAACATCAGCAACCCCCACCAATCCAAGCCAATCCCTGCCCCCGGCTATCAGTACTCCGGTTACATCAACTTTCTCTATTCCAGGAAGCAGTACTCAAACTCAAACATCATCAGACGTTCAAAGTCAGGAGCCAAGCTCTACTGCGAACGTTAAGATTACCAGTGCTCTATCCACAGTGGCTTATTTTGACACAACCTGGCCGACAGTTGCCATGGTAACAACAAGGCAGAGCCAAACTGGTGCATCGCTGACGACTGAGCAATGGATAGGAATTGGCGTCGGCGTCGGAATCTTTCTTGCAATAACAGGTAAGTGGCCATTTGGCCAACACCATTTGATGTCCTGAATATGTTGGAGTCACTGATTTTGGAAAGATATTTTTGTCATCTTCACCATGTTATCTCCACTGCTATTACTGGCTTTGTACCATTCGCACAGTTTTGCTGTCACCATCATCACTTCCTACCCATGGTAAGCAATGTCCAGAATGCCCATGATGGACGTACTTCTCATTCATACTTGCACCGTTTGGTAGGGGCAACGGAAACATGTACAATGCTTGGGCCAGAACACCTAGTTAACCTAGCAAAGGATCGACGTACATTGTATGTGGAGTCCACTGCTCCGCAGCAGCCAAATGAATGATCATCACCAGTACCACCACCCACAACGCTTCTGCCATACTGTTACTGTCACCATCATTACCACTTTCACCACCATCACCCCCTCTGCCATGCTTTTGCCATGACCATTATCACCACAGTCATCACCTCTGTCATTATTTTGCCATCATGAACATCGCCATCACCACTACAATCACCACCGTCATCACAGTCACCACTAGCAACTAGGTCACTGATATCGCAACCGCCATCACCACCACCACCATAATCACCACCATCACCCCAATCAAAACCGCCACCTCCACTGTCCTAAGCAAGCACACATTGTTTTGTCAGTTCATATCTCCGAATATCCTCGATCATTTACACAAACTCCAAACGGTTCTCATCGTTCCCGCAGTGATTCTTGCATGCTTACTCGTGTGGATGAGAGCCAGGCGAAACCAGCTTACCAAAAAACCCTCCATTCAAGTAAGCAGAGAGGACTATTCAAACAGCAGCACGTTGGCTCTGAAGGACCCGCAGTGGCGGAAAAGTTTAACCATGGCACTGCAATCAATGAACACTCATATAGAACTGCCAAAGGTAATTATTCCTCATTCCTACCACAAAGGCCTTTCTTTTGTTACGGTGAGAGTCATTGCTTGTGCCATCCAGTCGTTTGAAAGCTATGGCTGCCTGTCAGTGAAAGTAAATTTGCAAAATAAATCTAAGAGAGTAAATTTATACCTCTGAGGTACAAAATGAATGTAGCCACTTACTCTCAACCGCTTTGTGCCAGTGTTATTTCACAACAAACCAGCTCCAGGCTTGGGGTTAAAGACTCACTTTCTGAAAAAAGACAAAAAAGAAACAACCAAAATTTTACAGTAAAGTCAAATACCCGCTGACTAGCAGAAGTCATTTGCATTGTATTTGGTGCAGCACCTGACCATAACTGCATCATTTGAACAAAGGCTGCATCTGAATCTCTTGTCTGGAACTTGGTCTAGGTCTTCACTCCATTAGAAATGCGTGGAGACGCGTAGACAATAGACGTAGCCGTAGCTCTGGAAGCCCGTTTCGGACCTGGCCAAATTTGAAGGCTTTGCCTTTGAGGGATACTTGCTATGATGATGTGCCTGGTGCAACAGACAAGTTGGGGTACCAGACAAAGTCAGCCTCCACTGGCCTGCCACAGTGCCAGGCAGTGTCAGATCAGATTGGAAGTACCCTTGGTAGAAATGATCATAGAAAAGAAGATGGTCGTTAAAATGAAAAAAATTTTTTACTGAATGGAGTCACCTACTCCACTGGTGGCACTAATGGTCTTGCAACTTTATGAGCACAGCGAGCAGGGGTAACAGCTTTAGTCTTTAAGCTTTCCACTGGTATATGTGAAATATGACATTTAGGGTATGGTGCGTTTTCTTTCAAATGTTTAGGAGACCAATGAAGAGATGCAAGCAGTTGACAATGCAGCGTATGTAGAAGAGTCACATGACCCACAGACATCCAACCAGGACTTATCACACCTAACAAAGGTTTGAAATAGACCATGACGCTTGCACAAAAGAGTTGGATGCCCTGTGAGACATAAGAAGGCTGAAGACATTTTGCAAAATAGAGAGCAGATTTTGTAATTGAAATAGAAGAATTTTGTTCTTCAATATTAAACTTTCATGCCAGTGTTATATTCTAATAAATGAGTACTTCAAGAATTGTTGAAACACATGTTTATTTTTGCAACATGGAACAATATTTTCAAGGACTTTCAAAGATGTAAGGACTTTTACATGGCTCCGAAATTTAGAAATTTGCATCATATATTGTATGCCAGAGAAGTAATTTAAAGTAATTCAAAGGGCATTCAATTACTTATCTTCATCCTGATTTAATTTCAAACGCCCAAAATATTACGTGTAATTGGTGCTGTTCGTAATGAGACTGCATGTGTAAATAATGCTTTTTTTAATGTACATTTATAGAGGTCTTCGTGGCAATTTTTGGATCATGTTGATAACATCATCCTTGTCTTTCACGTGAAGAAATGTGTTCGGAGCTTTAAAAGGTTTTGATGAATTTCAATTTGCACTCATGTTTAATGCAACATCTTACACTGAATGAGTATGTAAGTGACGTTTTTGTATTCAAAGCTAATAGCAGCTGTGGTTATTGTGTTTACAAAGCATTTTACAGTGGAAGGAATCTGATAGATTTTTGTATCCCTTACAGTTTGAGGGATCGCCTCATCAGCCTCTAAGCTTGTACTTTCCTGTCTGCAACTGACTGGAATGGTGCTGAGCTCTTTATAGAGAGAGTTGTGACATGAGCATCTCTATTGTCTTGGAACCAAAATGGTGGATTATACATCACTGCACATGGACAATTAGGACACAATAGCTGCATGCTGTACTGCACATCTGATGAACAACCATTTTGGGTCCAAAGTCTGATGTTGGCACTACTCTCTCTGTATACAGCTCTGGAATGGTGCTGTCAACTCCTATACCAGGCCATAAAAAGTAAATTCACAAGTCAGTTCCAGAATTCAGGTCTGAAGTAACAATTTCGAATCAGTGACCAAGGAGTGTCATTTTACAAACAATTTAAATAGTCTTTTGAATGTGGGCTCGGAAGACTTGTGATGGACATGCTGAGATTTGTATGGACTCAGTGTGGCACCTCTTGAAATGTACTTTTGAATTACAATGGATATTTAGCTGCCGCTGGCAATTCAACTAAATGGTGTTTACCCATCAACCACAAGTAGACAGCACTCTCTTTGATGTGTATGCACGAGTAAGCCTATTAAGGTTATTAAATTACAACTAGACTCCAAGTAGGGTCCATTCTCTAGTGGATAGCACTCCCATCTTGAGATCGCATGGTGCACTCCCAGGTGGGTTTAATCTCCAGCTTAAAACCCATATCTGCCCACAACCCGGCTGTTTCAGAGCTTTTTTTTGGGGGGGGGTATTTTTACGTTGGCTCCAACATGTAATTACAGAGTATTACATTTCTTTCTGGTTGGTGGCTGTAGATGATTTTTTTAGGGAAAAAAGTCCGAAATTGGAAAAACAGTCTGATTCCAACCTTGCGATTACTATGTTGATGCAGAACCAGTCTAAGATTTATCACTGTAAGAATTTCTAAGCCCCCCCCAAAAAAAAGAGACAGAACTGTGCATGTCCCCAGCAAAATATTGTTTACTTAAATTTTCCAGCGACATCTAAGTATCCACTGGCTTTTTGAATCGTCTGTTTTTTTCTCTTTTTTGGGAGAGTTTGAGTTTTGTTTTAGGGCTGGAGGGTTTGACTAAGACTATTACAGTTTGAGATAAGGTAAAGAAGATCTTTCTGACCAATAGTTTCCTTTCTTGGGGAAGCTTTAGGTTTTTACAGCTGTGAATAAGGATACACGAAGTTAAGATTATTGTAAGGGTTGTGTTTGATTATCACACAGTCACTCATTCATTACGTTTTGGTTTCTTTTTTGTTTTTTAAATAGTAAAAATATTAATCATAATGGCCGGTCCGTTAGTAAAACTTATTGCTGTTACATCTTTTCATAAAAAGGCAACATTTGAAGGGCGTAATTTCTCGATCCTAGTGGATGGAAAAAAATGGCTGTCATACCAAAGGACAGTTGCAAAATCCATATGTCTTAAGATCGCTTTTAAGTAAGTCTAGAAGCATGCGAGTTGTGCTATTTTTAAGCCTAAGTCTTTCAAGGAGATTGAGCAGGGTTGAGTTTTTATTGAATTTGTTGTTAACCACTTGCTGTCGGGTGGATTTTTCTTGAGCGAGACAAGATGCCGGGTCCTTTTCAAGATTTTCCGTTTACAAAATTCTTCAAAAATTCATCATTTCGTTTAATGCCCGTTTATACCCACATGAAGGACTCTTTGGGCAACTACTCTAAAGCTGACAGGTAAATTCATTGACTCCTGAATATTTCAGCCAGGCCTGCAGCTTTGGAAAAAGAGCCCAGATTGTGCGGTGTTACGTAAGATATCTTTTGTTCCCGAAACCAGCACAGTGCACTGCTGACCTTTTCAATAGGGGCCAGATTAGCGTGCAGGGTGCTGGGCGGCTCATCGCTGCGGTGGTGGAGAGCTTTTGTCCCCGGTGGTAATCCGCTCGCTCTAAACGCCTCAAACCATGGTATACTGTTTCAAAACAAGGCTGGATTATCTGCACTATTGAGAGCTAAAAACATGTCGGTAATGCCCAGCAGCTCAGTCTTTTGTGCTGAGCACGGTCCTTTGTTATAAAGCCCAACTCTTTTGTCCCAGTTCAAGGCTCCCCGGTTCTGCATATAAAGCCTATGTACTCGAAAACGGGTCGCTCAGCATTTAAGCTACTTTCGCAACGCAACGCCATTTTAATTGTATCACACAGTAAGCGATTCTTAGTACTGTTTGTGCGCCATCAAGACCATACAATTGAGTCATCTATTTCGTTGTGTTTAATGCAGAAACGGTCGACCGTACATGAAATAGAATATCTTTTGTATAAAGTCACCATTTTTCATCCGTAGACATTGACTGGGCGTAGTCGAAGTCGTAATTCATGTTTGTCGGTATGCATGAGTGTATGTCCAAAGCTCCCAAATGCGTTCATTTTTGTGACAGCACGCTAAGAAGCTAAAGCTTCGGCGGGACGGTGAAAGACGTCGATCAGGAAGTTGAAAAGTGACCTGGTTGAGGTCAAAGGCATGGTGGCACAGTATGTTGTGAGTCACTCAGTGACACGAAGGTGTAGCCTGGTGAGGCTGTGGGAACGCGACATGATTTATACAAGTATATAACAATTCAGACGAATGGTGAACGACAAAACTCTGCACATTCAAGTCAGGTCCTAATTTATTTTTATTTAGCAAAAATTGTAGCGAACATGCTGTATTAGTACTCGACAGAAATCAACTGAGGAACAGATGTCGACATTATGACATTGTGGTACTTGGAAGGTGACTGTTTCAGCCGAACGCTTCTGTGAACGAAGAAGTAGCTTTTAGTCCTAAAATGTGTGATCTCTAATTCAGTTTTACATGTATCAATTTTATGCGGATACCAGATATTAGAATCAAACAACACATATAGATTAAAATATAAACGAATTTACAGATTCCACCAACAGAGCTTTTTAACAATAAGAATGTAATAATGCTGTTGTAACGCTTAGTTGTTATACATATAGTTTTTATATTAAGCGACCAAAGTTCCCGCTAGTTTTTGAAGCTGGTTGAATCGAACGACTTTCCGAAACTTTGAGTAAACTACAAACGTTGCCTTGTTTGGGACGCCAGTTACGCAGCAAACCCCTTAGGTTTGTGAACGTAAGTACATGGAACCGGGGTAGACATTGTTAATTAAGAAACAATGTCATGGTAGGTACCATTGTACCGTACCGTTGTGAAGAGTGACTTTACCCTTAATTTTTGGCAGTTGCTGTACCCAGGTTTTCAAAAGTTTTTTATATAAGGATATGTACACAATCGAAGTAAGCCGTATTGTATTCATCATGTGTATGTTATGATTATAGAAACCGCAGCTCGGCAGAAATTAAAGAGCGCTGGGTCAAGGAAATAATATTCCATGAAATGTGGGGAAATATAATAAAAATCACTGTGTCAATGACTGTTCGTGATGTGTCATTGTATGCAATATTCGCTTGAAGTGTACCATGAACACATCTGGCGATTACTTGTTCAAGAGTCTTGTCTTAACCTCCAGTTTTAACAACTCGGTATCCAGCTATTAGGAGCCTTAGTCGAAGAGTTTGATAACTTGTTGCTGAAACAAAACGACAAAGCAGCTGGCCATGCATTTTTAACCATGTTGAATGAAATGAATTTGCTAGAAGCGGTTGAAAACAACTCTTGCACATTTTGGAGTCGCATCAGATAAAATTCATATGATTTTATTACACATTTGCATGGTGAAATCCATCTATTTGAGCAACTCTAGGTTGAGGAAGAGCATTCGTAGAATGAGGCATGAAGCAACACTAAACATGCACAGTCATCTCTCATTCTATTTGTGTTTCAAGGAACATGCGTGACTCCATTTTATTAGCGCTGGTATTGCTTACTCTGGGAATTCCCCGGTTGAGCAATGCGCCCGCAATTATGAGCTCTAGCTCCGGCTTTGAACTATAGTAGCCATTTCGAGACTACAATCCAGGCGCGCGAAGCAACGAGTGCTTTTGTTGTCTGAACTGTGCCAATCATTTTATTGATGCCATTGACTTGATACACGACCAAGAAATCGACTTCCGGGGCATTCCAAAAAAATAAGCGTCGCTCACACTGCAGCCCGCAACTGCGTTTTAATTTGAACTGATATGTGAACAGCGTAAATATTTCCTGTTAGGAGCCTGACACAACATGTAGATATTCAGAATTCCTCTCCGGTCTTCGTGGTGCATTACATGTTGTCGGAGAGTAATGATCGAATGTACAAACTGTTGTTTATGTGGTTGCAGTCGCACCTAGTTGTATCTGTCTCCACGTCGGGAATTGTCACCCACGGCAGGTGAGTTTGCATTTTGAAATGTTGCCCTGACCTTGTTCCTACTTCGATACCCTGGTAATGTTCATATTTCCATTTGAACGTTGAAATGTTAAAATAATCTATGATAAAGGTTCCCTGCTAGAATCGACAGCAAGCCAGAGGCAAGCCGTTTTCATGTTTGATTGCAAAATACTGATAGATCATGGTAGGGCCTGTCATTATGTTACTGTACTTTTGCTTGTGCTTTGTGAATGCATAGCGGATGGCACCGCACGAAGAGTGGGGCCTTTTATCTCCCCCAAACACCCACAGTTTTGCTTCCCTCTGCATTTTTTTTTATAAACCGTCAAAGTCTGTTGTTTAGAGTAGCAATATGGTTTTTGTACACTTGCAGCCGTTGGCCCCCAAAACTAGTTCCGACAAAAATTCCCCACTGAATTAAATAATAATACCTCAGCCTGCCACGTCAAAGGCGGACGCGCCACGATTTGCGGTCTCCCATTGGACGATCGCTGAAGTTGCACGTTAACTTCCAGTCTAGGTTCCATGCATGTAAACGGTGATCTATGCATGTAACTCTATGTGCAGTGGGTGGTTTAAACTGAAGTGACGTCACACTTACGAACCGGATTAAGGCGTCTTTCCGTATGTGCGTCAACGTGCGCCAAGTGTTGTGTAGCCGCTAGATCAGCGCTCCCAGAATTTTTCCTGTCCGAATCGCTCCCAGGGCAATTTTGACAAATATGCAACGGTTTGGCGCAAGTCCTGACGTGCATATGGAAAGACACCTTTAGGCCTAGTTGCACTATCGTAGTTAGTTGCACTATCGTATCCTACCGGTACATGGCTGGCTAACCGTGGCAGGCCGTGAGTAAAAAATAGTAAAAACGCATACACAAGGCGTTCAAAATTCTCACACAGTTATGATGACACCGAATTCTAAATAAAAGCTTCAACACCGTGGGGCAACTTGAGGTCCTGACCATGTGATCTGTAATTCGATTTTACGTGTAACAGTTTTAAAAGGATTCATTAGGAATTGAAATTTATGAAAACCAGATATTATATTCAAACAACACGCATAGATTTAAAAAAAAAACGAGTTTACAGATTCCACCAACAGAGCTTTTTAATCAGAATGTAATAATGCTGTTGTAATGTTTAGTCGTTGTGTAGTTTTTGTATCAAGCGACCAAAGTTTCTGCTACTTCTTAAAACTGGTGAATGAACGGCTTTCCGAAACCACGAGTGAACAATAAACATTTCCTTGTATGGGACGCCAATTATGCTGCAAACCTTATGTCTGTGAATGTAAATACATAGTACGTTGTTATTTAAGAAACAATGTCATGGTAGGTACCATTGTACCGTACCGTTGTGAAGAGTGACTTTACCCTTAACTTTCGGCAGTTACTGTACCCAGGTTTTCAAAAGTTTTCTTTTATATAAGCATATGTACACAATCGAAGTAAACCGTTATTGTATTCGTCATGTGTATGTTATGATTATAAAAACCGCAGCTCAGCAGAGATTAAATGGTTTTGCGTTAAGGAAGTATTCCGCGGACTGTGGGGAACCAATAAATACCAATGTGTCAGTGACTGTCCGTGATGGGTCATTGTATGCAATATTCGCTTGAAGTGTACCATGAGCACATCTGGCGATTACTTGTTCAAGAGTCTTGTCTTGACCTCCAGTTTGAACAACTCGGTATCCAGCTATTGCGAGCCTTAGTCGAAGAGTGTGATGACTTGTTGCCAAAACAAAACGACAAAGCAGCCGGCATCATTGGAATCGCATCAGATAAAATTCATATGATTTTATCACACATTTGCATGGTGAAATCCACCTATTTGAGCAACTCTAGGATGAGGAAGAGCATTCGTAGAACGAGGCATGAAGCAACAGTCATC